GAAGGGATTCAGAGAAACCGGTTATTTTTATATAGCCGGACTCGAGTCCTGGAAATGGGAAGTACAATGCCTGCACTCTAAATGAGGGGTTCGGGATATTAGCAGTTTGGAGGGATATGTTGTGTATCTCTATACGTATGTGCTACTAAACTGTTGTGTTCTGAGCACCTCTGCAAAAAGTGATTATGTGAGAGTGAGGTGAAAGTGTTGAATGTATTTTCTTTTTGGGGATTTTTTTTCTTTTTGGGTCACCCTGCCTCGGTGGGAGACGGCCGACTTGTTGAAAAAAAAAATATATCCAAATCGTATGTATATATGGCTGAACCACATGTATATAAAAATGTATATCCGTACAAATCATAAACAATTTCGACACAGTCGCTCCCATCAATTTCGTTGAGCTCGATTAGATTACTGTACGTTCGCTCATTTTTAGCCTCGCTGGATTACGTTTTAAAATTCCTCGTAATTACATTGCTAGAATAAATGATTTGTCATCAATGTTAAGGCAAGCTATAACAATAATTAATAATAATTCAAATAATTTCCTTATTTTCCGATGCTTTGCTTAAATTTACTCGTTCTAGGGGTCGGTGTTGCCCATCCCCCACCACACCCTCCCCCCCACACCCTCCACACTTACACCCACCTGTCCACAATTACACCCACTTGTTAGGTAAAAGGGCATGTGCAACTATGACGTTTTATTGTGCCAACGTTTCGCTCTCCAGAAGGTTCGTCAATCCGGTAATTCTACCAACAAATTTTACACTTGTCTATAACTACACCCACTTGCCCGTAACTACACTCACTACCCCGTAACTGCACTCACTAGCCCGTAACTGCACTCACTAGCCCGTAACTGCACTCACTAACCCGTAACTGCACTCACTAACCCGTAACTACATTTACTAACCCGTAACTACACTCACTAGCCTGTAACTACACTCACTAGCCTGTAGCTACATCCACTAACTCGTAACTACACTCAGTAACCCGTAACTACACTCACTAACCCGTAACTACACTCCAGTCATCTTTTCCACTTACTGGCTTGTGTTTCCAGGTCTTAGAACAGTTTCGCAAGGAATATGTGAGAGTTCCTTGTTCATGTTGTCACAGTTTAGTCTGACAGCTGAATAAGAATTTACTAAACATCCCCGCACGCTGACTATTGTTTACGTTCTCCACACTTGTATTTATGCTTACTTGTATTTTACTGAGGTTGCGATCTGAGTGTATCGTGCTGGAGACTGTCCCTGATAAACTCATTATGAGACCCTTGTAAATACGAGAGGCAATGCTGATGAGGGAACATTTTGAAACAAATTGTGCTCTTACTTCAGTATTGTTCCGTGCTCACAGTGCCTTTCAAGGGAGAGAGAACGGAATTTGAAAATATACTGAGGTCGTATACTTGCCGTATAGCATCAGACAGCAAAACTATCGAGAACGCCTTGAAACACTTGGAATTTATTCTCTGGGAATGAGAGATACCTCATAAAATATATATGGAAGATAATTGTAGATGATCATGTCTCTAATCTGAACATTGTTTTAATTTGATGGAGTGAGAGGTGTGGAAAGAAGTATAGAATAAACCCCGTGAAAAGCAAGGATACTATAGGCACAATTAGAGAACAGTGTGTCAACATCTTTGGTCCAAGTCTATTCAAAGTGCTACCAGCATTCGTAGCATCCCAAGACTGTTGCCCCTGCTACCAGCATTCATAAGAACGTTGACCCTGCTACCAGTATTTCTAAGAATGTTGATCCTGCTACCAGTATTCCTATGAATGTTGACCCTCCTACCAGCATTCCTAATAATATTGATCCTGCTACTAGCCTTCCTAACAATGTTGACCCTGCTACTAGCCTTCCTAAGAATGTTGACCCTGCTACCAGCATTCATAAGAATGTTGACCCTGCTACCAGTATTCCTAAGAATGTTGACCCTGCTACCAGCATTCCTATGAATGATGACCCTGCTAATAGCCTTCCTAAGAATGTTGACCCTGCTACTAGCCTTCCTAAGAATTCTGCCTGAAGGAAGACTTACTGTATTTTCCGGCATATAAGGCGCACGGCATTAGTGTCGTAACGGTAAGTCAGTTTTCATATTCAAAGGTTACCTTCTTACTTCACGCTAAAGCGTAACCCAAAGCCTACCCTTGACCCTGACCTTGAGCATATAAGGCCCAGGCTGATTTTTTCAAAGCCTTTTGTGGCAAAAAAGGCGCGTCTTATATGCTGGAAAATACGGTAAGTTTTGAAGAGGAAGTTGAGCAACTATGGAAGGAGAGGATTGTGATGGTCTCAGACCTGACTGCGAGGGTAGACGAACCCTCGAAATTACTCGCAGGAATATCATAGATATGTCACAAGGTGGGATGGAGTTAGAGTGGCAGGATGGTGAACGGAGTGAGAGTGGAGGGTTGAGAAGCACTTAGTTGAGGTTGGTGAGAAGGAGAAGGAAAAAGGATAGGCAATACAGAGAAGGGAGAGGATGGAAATAGGGAGAGGGGAAGAGGATGGAAATACGGAGATGAGAGAGGGTGGAAACAGGGACAGGATGGAAACAGGGAGAGGCGAGAGGATTGAAATAGGGGGGTGAGAATGTCGTTGATAGCGACTGAAAGGCGAGAATATAATGGTAGTAAGAAAGAGCTTCGTTTGTTAATTTAGTTTAGGCTAAAACGCCCTTTAAGTATTTATGGATTAAATTGGGTTATTATTGCTGGTGTGGAAGCTGTCTTTGTGTTGTGAGGGGTAAATGGATGCTGTGTTGTGGATGTTATCTTTGTGTTGATGAGATGTAAAGTCAGTGCTTGACCAGCTGGGCTGTGGTTCGTACGTTGGATTGCATGCGACCGGCAGTAACAGCCTGGTTGCTCAGGCCTTGATCCGCCGTGAGGCTTGATCATGGACCGGGCCACGGGGGCGTTAACCCCCGGAACACCCTCCAGGTAGAGCAAGTGTTATCTTTGTGTTGAGGTGAGGGTAATTGGGTATTGTGTATTTGTTTGAACTGACAAATGAAAGTATGTTCTGCATGTTTGTTATTTATGTTCTTGCCTTACAAACAACACAACTTCTCTCAATGTAATCGAAAGTTAAGTCCCACCGAGACACGCACACACGCGCGCACACACACACACACACACACACACACACACACACACACACACACACACACACACACACACACAAAGCTCGTCTAGGCTCCTCTCAATTATTTTACAGACGTCTACAGATTTTTTTGCGTTTTCGTATAAACAGACGATGGGAGAGAGTGAGAGAGGAAAGTCAGGGAAGCGAGGAACAATTTTTATGTGCTGAAACACGCTTAATTGGGCAGTACGTCAAGGCACGTATATTCCTGTGAGGTGTGAAGGGTGGGTGGGTAAGGGTGAAATTGTTAGAGTTAGAGAAAGAGAGGAAGGAGAGGTATATGCGAGAGTAGGAGTCAGAAGTGAGCCAGGGAAGATAGGGGAAAGGCGAGAGAGAGGATGAACGAGAGAGAACCTAGGGGAAATGGAGATGGTGAAGAGAGAGAGAGAATAGGAAAAGATGTACAAAAGAGGGAGAGGGTGGCAAAGCCACGTCTCTCAGCATTATTAGGAAAAAATAAGATATAATAATTATTATTAAATTTCATCTGTATTTCCATTCATGATAATGCGCCATGGTGTTCTTTCACGGTTTATGAATGTATACGGGTTTATATATGTGTATGCCGATTTATACAAGTTAATTAACATGTATGTTTTTTCTTTTACCAGACAAGCCTATAGCGACCTGGTTGATCTCTCTGATAAATTAAGATAATGTAACACAGTCGAGTCCTGCCCCAGCTCATCTTTGGTCAGCTTAGTTCAAGTGAAGTTGATATAAACCTTGGTAATAAATACCGACAAGTTGGTTTAGAAAGACACTTAAGCAAACACTATGACATATTTATTAGAAAACGTTTCGGTGCTGGGACCTTGATCACTTCTGAAGTGATCAAGGTCCCAGGACCGAAACGTTTTCTAATAAATATGTTATAGTGTTTGCTTACGTGTCTTTCTAAATCAAGTGAAGTAAACTGTTTATGATGTTCAAGGTATATGTCGCCAGGCTAATGGAAGGATGTACTTCTTAGGTCTGTAGTGTTTTGAAATGTCGAAATGCTGTTGCAACAATGAATCTGTATTGCTCAAATATCTAATATGGTTCTTTTTCTTTTCTTCCCAGTTCAACCTCTTTTTCTTCTTTTCGATATGTTATGTGCTACCCTGTTTAGTAAAAATTTTATTTCTCTTTGTGGAATATGTCATCGCGACAAAAGGTAATTCTCAGCTAATATGAACGTAAGAATGGAGGAACACTGCAGCAGGCTTACTGGCCCAGACAAGACAGGTCTTTTTCAAAGCCAATCATTCCCACCCACCTATTTCCCAAAATACCCAGGAATTTGTTTCAATACTCCAGCTCTGCTGGAATGAAACCGTTGAAGCTGCAGTAGTTACTGGACCTTTAACGATGAAATTTATGACGAAAGCCTCATTTTCCTACCGAAGTTTCCTTATATTAATGATATACAATACCGACAGTTAGATGAATAAGACACGTGCAATATTTTGGTATCTTTTCCGCCGATATCGGCAATGAAGACTCAGTTGTATACATGAATCCAGATGTACTCCTGTTAACCGTCTCGGGGCCTAGTTCCTAGGACTTTTGTGTGTGCACTGCAAATGCTCTTGCGCTGCCGTCCACAGGATTTATGTGGGATACCCAATAAATTATCCGCTTCGACGGTAAAGTCTAAAAAAAAATCGTAAATTTACAAGTAATGCACAAACTAACAGATTTCAAAATTTTATGAAATCTATCCTGTATAATAATATAGTAATTAGTAATAGCAATAATGATAGTAATTATTATTAATAATAATAGTAATTATTAATAGTAATACTGTGTATGAGGTACTAATGTGAGTGTTATGTTTGTTTCAGCTCTGGTGAGGCGGTATGAGGTTGAGGGTCGGGCGGGGGAGGAGGTGCGACTACCCTGTGAGGTGGACAAGGCCTCCTGCGGAGACTTCCACAGCATCAAGTGGTACAAGGGCAATGACAGAGTCTTCATCTTCTCCGACATGGCCAACGTGAAGAGGGCAGAGGGACCCCTGCTAGACAGGTCGGTATGATCACAGAATGTAATTACACTGAGTTAAATCACATTGCAATCACAGTGTTATGGCAGAGATTGCTGTCACACACAGTTTAATAACACACAAAATACCAGGATAACCTAAACTTTAGAAAAGGTGTGACTTTTCAGAGTATATTTCATTCCTTTATTTTAATGGGCTTTGGAATAGAGTATTTTAAGACCATAATAATTCTTTGGAACGTGAGACCCCGTCGCTTGCTGTGGCTGAGATACGTAGGTGATCCGTACACGCCCAGGAATATGATTTTTTATGATATAGTGTTAAATAAGCACAATTATTTGGTCCCAAGTATGAAATTTCATAAGTAGAATTACATGTAAAAAGGGTGTAATGTCTTACTTGGTCACTGTTATTATTGAAAGTATTGTATCACGCCTCTGAAATGTTAAAAATATAAAGGATGTGATTACATGCAAGGAGCTGTTATCAATGTTACTGGAGAAGAATCGTGTTTTCTGAGGTGCTGTTCACAAGGAGAAAAAACACTCACATCAAGAGCTGGGCTTACGCAGAAAAGCTCACTAAGGAGGACAACGATAATTGTTGGTGATGTTTTGAAGCTGCCAACCTACGACACCGTGGAACAGACTCGAGGAGTTATTCACTATCACAAGACCACATGTCAAAAAAAAAAAAATCAGAAAATCAGACACATACACGCAATAGGTTGAATTTCTACGTAATCCCACCTACTGTCTCCTCGCTCTCTGTATGTGCGTGTGTGTTATGTTGCCATGTTCCTAGTAATCACTCGATAAAGCTCTGTTCAGAGTAAAACGTAGTCCAAATGAATGTTTGGACTACGTTCTCTCTCTCTCTCTCTCTCACACACACACACACACACACCACACACACACACACACACACACACACACACACACACACACACACACAGTCTATCACTACACAGTTGCTCCTTGAGGGTTGTAGCTCCTGTCAACCTTCAAGGTCGGAAATTATCTGAAGGAATAAATTATTATTATTATTATAATCAAGGGGGAAGCACTAAACCCGGAGGATTATACAGTACCTGGGGGGGGATGTGGAAGGCATTCAGGCTTAATTCGGGGAACTGGAGCACAGATCCAATTCCCTAAATCAAGAGCCCCTCACCAACATCAAGGAACCTTCCTTGAGGGGTGAAGGAATAAAGAATACTTGACTTCCCTATTTAGGGATTAAAGTATTCCTGACTGGCGGAGAACAGGACCTGACCAGTTAACCAACTATCCCTAGAATTATTTTCACTTTTAAGCCCCCCCCCCTTCCCAGGGAAGTGTCTTGGTGATCTTTGTGGAAACGTTTCGCCAGCCAGTGGCTTCATCAGTCCACCAATGCAGAGACTGAAGCCACTGGCTGGCGACACGTTTCTGGCGACACGTTTCCACAATAAAGATACCAATTGTTACACAATTGTCTAATTCATCATCCTGTCGGTTCTCTGAACCATTTATCTACATACAAGTGCCTTGGTGCCTGTGAGGGGGCTCTTGATCCAAGGAATTAAGCCTGTCCACCACTTCAAATCGAACCTAGTTGCATCTCATTGCCCAGGAGCTGTATAACCCCCTTCGGGGTTTAGCGTTTTCCAGGTCGGTAAATATATCCAGGCACGTTGTCAAGTCTCGCTCAACCGACGGAGGATCGAGCCTTCATTGCTCGGTGAGCTGAATGAACCCGCACGGGTTTAGCGCTTCACGTAAAATTCTCTTGTTTTTATCTCGCTGTGTTTGAATCGTATTTCCCGAAGCGCCAAAGCCGTGTGGGGTCATTTAACGCAGTGAGTGGTGAAGGCTCGATCCTCTGTCAGCTAATCGCGATCCAGTCTTAAAGTTGCTATTTAGATAAGATTTTGTTGGGATTTTTAACGCGGAGGGTTAATAACTCGTCGAGCACTGTGTCTTGTTTGAATTGTCGCTCTTTAATCTTCTCTCCCCCAGGATGCGACCCATAACAGTCGATTAATACCCAGGTACGTACTGACTGCTAGGTAAACAGGGACAGCAGGTGTAAGGAAACATGCCCAACGTTTCGCTCAGTCCCTCAGTGTGTGAGCCGAGGACGCTACTAACCCAACCATGAGCACTACCAACAGCATCCTAGCTACATCACTATGATGCTGGCATCAGTCTATCCCTCAGCGATATTGTAAACTTTAGATCTCTTCATTATGCAGAGAAAAATATCGTGTAACAATTTCCCGAAAATTGATTCTTAAATGACGTACTTGTTACCTGAAGTCGATTCTCAGCTTCACCGCCCCTTTCCCTGCGCCTCGGTCCCAGACCAGGAGGAGAAAGGGTAGTTGAAAGGGCTGCCATTTGATCGCCCCAGCGGTCTGAGCCTAAACCAGTAGGAGGAAGGGAACGAGTGAGGGACAGAATCTGAATCCATTACCATCAACTTCATGGGAGTGTGTGTGTATATACGCCTGAGTTATCCTCGTGGCCACTGGCAGCTCTCCAGGTGTTTGGACGGAATCTAATTCTACACACGAGACCTTGCACCCTTCTGGGAGGGTGGTGCTACTCGTATTGATACTCTTTATGCAGGTGCACGCCCTCTGGAAATATTTCCATTTCACTGCGAATCATTCTCAACGCATCGTAATTTCCTACGTTCTGGAAGACGAAATGCTGACGTAATTTATAGATATATTCCAGAAACCTTTGACAAGTGTGATTTCTGTGTATCAGTTCACAAATTGCGTGCAAAATGAATAATTGGTAAAGTGGGTAGATGGAGTTTCGACTTGATAAATCGGACTCGAATAATAACTAACAAAGTGCCTCGATGAAAATCTTTGTTGTTCCTTAAGCACAGCTGTCACCTACATATGTAATTCTAATATACTGACAGAGAAAAGCATTAAAGTTCTAACACAATAAATATACTAGGATTTGTGTGAGAATAACATCCACTGAGAAGTAAGACACATGTGCAACAGTTAGGTATCTTAATTCCGAAACGTTTCTCCTACAGGAAAGGCAGCAGAAGCAGAAGGTATGTAAAGACTGTGTGATCAGTCCATTACCCTCGAAGACAGTTTTGAGGTGGTCAGTTCCTCACCCTGGAGAAGAGTTCCTCTCCATAGTCTGGAAAAATGTGAAGCTGAGGTAACAGATTTAAGACGTGTACTGTCAAATGTGAGACGCAGATAATCTTGACGACAGGAGAGGCAGGGCCAACTAGTAGAAGTAAGAATATAATCACTGAGAGGCAGTGTAGCAAACCTACTGGATAGGCCCTTCTTAAATTCAACCCTCGTCACTCGTAGTTAGTGGTCAGGCAAAAAAGTTATCGAAGATATCCTCTGTACCAAGATACCGTTGTACATGTGTCTTATCAACTTGTCGGTATTGTATACCATTATCACATTCACATCCACTGAGAATACATTATACTTTCAAAAAGTTGTCAATCAAGTCTTTGAGTGGGACACAACACTGTTCAACGAGGATACAAAACACAGTTCATCGAAGATACAGAACACAATTCAACGAGAACACTGAGCACAATTCATCGAAGACACGGGACACAGTTCATCGAGGACACGGAACACAGTTCATCGAGGACACGGAACACAATTTGGTGCTCAACTAGGACAAATATCAGCCAGTCCGCTATGAAGAAAATCAGTCGCATACCTTCACAACAAACACCTACCTTACCCCCGACTCTGGTATCACCTCATCGTGGTGAAGAGGCTTCAGCGACCCCGGTGCATAATTAAAACCCAAGTAGCCCATTTTTTTGTCCTAAATAGCGGAAATATTTCCCCTTTCGTGAAAATTTGCTATGGTTTGTGGCCTATGCCTTGAAACAAATTAGGAATAGGATTTAATTATTATTATTACGTAAATTTGGGGGTAGAGGTGAAACAGCGACTTTAATATTGAAGGTAATTGGATATTAATTGATATTAAGTAATTGATATTAAGGGAGGGGAGGGGGGAAGGAGGTAACCCGAATTCCTTATATCAAGAGCGCTTCACAGGCATTAGATTAGTCTTTAATAGTATCAGGAAAGTGAAGCGGGACTCGCACTTCAGTTTCAGTAACTTTTGTATACAATCTTGGTACAGTAGTGGAACTCTCGTATAGGCCCTTGAACAGTGGGAAACTTCCCTCAGGACCCGGTCATTAGGTTTATAAACTATAGGCCACACGAGTTTACCTATTTACCCAGAGATAGGTAGGAAGACTGGTGTAGTCGACTCACAAAGTCGTAATAACACGATTGCAAACAAATAAGGGAACGGGTGGGGGTTTAAACTCATGGGAAATGAATAGTGAAGCTCGCAGGCCAATGCGTTAACCACTGGGCCAGCTGGCCGAATGGTTAACACAGTGGCAAACATTACAAATGTACTCCAGTATATCCCAAATACTCTCTAAGACATTTCCCACACTTACACCCTAACACATTTCCTCACCAGATTACAAACAGCACGTCTCTTGCAGAACTGACTTCCACTACGCCACGAACGGCACCAACAGCAGCCTGGAGATCTTCCCGCTACAGACGGAGGACGAGGGTTTGTACAAGTGTGAGATCACGTACCTAGCGGTACGTGAGGCGTGCTCCGTGGTGCAGTTCGTCAACCTCACCACCTACGGTACGTAAGCTAAACTGTTCTTGCGTGAATCATTTCGTGAACATTCAAGCTGGTGAAGACCTCTTGTTCCAAGAAATTCTTGGAGAACAACTGGAGGAGGAGGAGGAGGTAGAAGAGAAGGAGAATATTAGTATGAACTATGAAGTAGCGGAGAACATAAGGAGCACTGCTCAAAGCCTACTGGCCCATTTTAGTCGGGTAGGCGATGCAAGGAGCCAAGAGACAATTTAACTTGGAGAAAGAAAAATGTAACTAGGAGATAGAATATAACTAGGCGATAAGTGTCGGTTCTCTGATCCATTCATCTACGATAAGTAACTAGGCGATAGGTAACAGATGGGTAGCTAGGTAGGTAACTGGGGGATAGGTAACTAGGATATAGGTAACTGGGGGATAGGTAACCAGGGGATAGGTAACCGGGGGATAGGTAACTGGGGGATAGGTAACCGGGGGATAGGTAACTGGGGGATAGGTAACTAAGAGATAGATAACTAGGAGATAGATAACAGGTGGGGATAAATAACTAGATTACTAGGAGACATAACTAGTAATAAGTAACTAGGAGAATTAACTAGTAATAAATAACTAGAAGACAGTTTTCACAGTTTGTTGGAGAGTATGATAGAGAACTCTATAAAACACAAGCATGACAGCTGTTATCAGGACAACGTTTCGCCCTAAGAAGAGCTTTATTGAAGGCGATGTTTCGCCATGACGAGAGGTTCATTGGGACAACATATCACTCTGATGAGAGATTTTTCAGGTCAGTGACGCGAAACATCTCTCCTGAGAGCGAAACGTGCTAACAGTTAACATAAGAAGGAACACTGCAACAGGCCTACTGGCCTAAGCGAGGCAGCTCCATTTCTCCCACCGGCTTAAGCCAATGTCTTGACCTAGTGAGGTCAGACACGTGCTTTCCTATATCCTTCCTGAATCTGAATTTTTCCAATTAAAGCCATTGCTGCGAGTCCTGTCTGTGTTAGATATTTTTAGCACGCTATTTACATCCCCTTTATTAATTCCTGTTTTCCATTTATACACCTCAATCATGTCTTCCCTAATTCTACGCCTTTCTAGAGAGTGCAGGACGATTTCTGATACATGGGATCAACTTTGTCATCCTCCTCTGTACGTTTTCCAGTGCATTTATGTCCATTCTGTAATACGGTGACCAAACTGTGCAGCATAATTGAATTTGGTTATGCAAATTTTTGATATGCTAATTTCAGCTTCTCACCGGATGTACACTGACCAAATCTTGTTAAAAGTAGATGTCGAAAAATTGTCTAAATGGACATTAGCTAAGATTTTTTTTTCAATATACCGGCCGTGACCACTGAGGCAGGGTGATCACCGAGGCAGGGTGACCACCGAGGCAGGGTGACTACCGAGGCATGGTTATCACCGAGGCAGGGTGACCACCGAGGCAGGGTGACTACCGAGGCATGGTTATCACCGAGGCAGGGTGACTACCGAGGCATGGTTATCACCGAGGCAGGGTGACTACCGAGGCATGGTTATCACCGAGGCAGGGTGACTACCGAGGCATGTTATCACCGAGGCAGGGTGACTACCGAGGCATGGTTATCACCGAGGCAGGGTGACTACCGAGGCATGGTTATCACCGAGGCAGGGTGACTACCGAGGCATGGTTATCACCGAGGCAGGGTGACCACCGAGGCATGGTTATCACCGAGGCAGGGTGACTACCGAGGCATGGTTATCACCGAGGCAGGGTGACTACCGAGCATGGTTATCACCGAGGCAGGGTGACCACCGAGGCATGGTTAAACACCGAGGCAGGGTGACCACCGAGGCAGGGTGACTACCGAGGCATGGTTATCACCGAGGCAGGGTGACTACCGAGGCATGGTTATCACCGAGGCAGGGTGACTACCGAGGCATGGTTATCACCGAGGCAGGGTGACTACCGAGGCATGGTTATCACCGAGGCAGGGTGACTACCGAGGCATGGTTATCACCGAGGCAGGGTGACTACCGAGGCATGGTTATCACCGAGGCAGGGTGACTACCGAGGCATGGTTATCACCGAGGCAGGTGACCACCGAGGCATGGTTATCACCGAGGCAGGGTGACTACCGAGGCATGGTTATCACCGAGGCAGGGTGACTACCGAGGCATGGTTATCACCGAGGCAGGGTGACCACCGAGGCATGGTTATCACCGAGGCAGGGTGACCACCGAGGCAGGGTGACCACCGAGGCAGGGTGACCACCGAGGCATGGTTATCACCGAGGCAGGGTGACTACCGAGGCATGGTTATCACCGAGGCAGGGTGACTACCGAGGCATGGTTATCACCGAGGCAGGGTGACTACCGAGGCATGGTTATCACCGAGGCATGGTTATCACCGAGGCAGGGTGACTACCGAGGCATGGTTATCACCGAGGCAGGGTGACTACCGAGGCATGGTTATCACCGAGGCAGGGTGACTACCGAGGCATGGTTATCACCGAGGCAGGGTGACTACCGAGGCATGGTTATCACCGAGGCAGGGTGACCACCGAGGCATGGTTATCACCGAGGCAGGGTGACTACCGAGGCATGGTTATCACCGAGGCAGGGTGACTACCGAGGCAGGGTGACTACCGAGGCATGGTTATCACCGAGGCAGGGTGACTACCGAGGCATGGTTATCACCGAGGCAGGGTGACCACCGAGGCATGGTTATCACCGAGGCAGGGTGACCACCGAGGCATGGTTATCACCGAGGCATGGTTATCACCGAGGCAGGGTGACCACCGAGGCATGGTTATCACCGAGGCAGGGTGACTACCGAGGCATGGTTATCACCGAGGCATGGTTATCACCGAGGCAGGGTGACCACCGAGGCATGGTTATCACCGAGGCAGGGTGACCACCGAGGCATGGTTATCACCGAGGCAGGGTGACTACCGAGGCATGGTTATCACCGAGGCAGGGTGACTACCGAGGCATGGTTATCACCGAGGCAGGGTGACTACCGAGGCATGGTTATCACCGAGCAGGGTGACTACCGAGGCATGGTTATCACCGAGGCAGGGTGACTACCGAGGCAGGGTGACTACCGAGGCATGGTTATCACCGAGGCAGGGTGACTACCGAGGCATGGTTGATCACCGAGGCAGGGTGTACTACCGAGGCATGGTTATCACCGAGGCAGGGTGACTACCGAGGCATGGTTATCACCGAGGCAGGGTGACTACCGAGGCATGGTTATCACCGAGGCAGGGTGACTACCGAGGCAGGGTGACTACCGAGGCATGGTTATCACCGAGGCAGGGTGACCACGAGGCATGGTTATCACCGAGGCAGGGTGACCACCGAGGCATGGTTATCACCGAGGCATGGTTATCACCGAGGCAGGGTGACCACCGAGGCATGGTTATCACCGAGGCAGGGTGACTACCGAGGCATGGTTATCACCGAGGCATGGTTATCACCGAGGCAGGGTGACCACCGAGGCATGGTTATCACCGAGGCAGGGTGACCACCGAGGCATGGTTATCACCGAGGCAGGGTGACTACCGAGGCATGGTTATCACCGAGGCAGGGTGACTACCGAGGCATGGTTATCACCGAGGCAGGGTGACTACCGAGGCATGGTTATCACCGAGGCAGGGTGACTACCGAGGCATGGTTATCACCGAGGCAGGGTGACTACCGAGGCATGGTTATCACCGAGGCAGGGTGACTACCGAGGCATGGTTATCACCGAGGCAGGGTGACTACCGAGGCATGGTTATCACCGAGGCAGGGTGACTACCGAGGCATGGTCATCACCGAGGCAGGGTGACTACCGAGGCATGGTTATCACCTCGGCAGGGTGACTACCGAGGCATGGTTATCACCGAGGCAGGGTGACTACCGAGGCATGGTTATCACCGAGGCAGGGTGACTACCGAGGCATGGTTATCACCGAGGCAGGGTGACTACCGAGGCATGGTTATCACCGAGGCAGGGTGACTACCGAGGCAGGGTGACTACCGAGGCAGGGTTATCACCGAGGCAGGGTGACTACCGAGGCAGGGTGACTACCGAGGCAGGGTTATCACCGAGGCAGGGTGACTACCGAGGCAGGGTTATCACCGAGGCAGGGTTATCACCGAGGCATGGTTATCACCGAGGCAGGGTGACTACCGAGGCATGGTTATCACCGAGGCAGGGTGACCACCGAGGCATGGTTATCACCGAGGCATGGTTATCACCGAGGCAGGGTGACTACCGAGGCAGGGTGATCCTTATAAGAAGAAAACTAAAAAAAATGTCATTTTTTCCATTTAGTAATTTATGTAAGAGTCGGTGTTACTAGCGTCTTGCTCCCGGCATTTTAGTCGCCTCTTACGACACGCATAGATTACAGAGAGAATTGTTCACTTCCCTATGGAGAATTTGTATTATTTTGTTTAATGTAATACTGCGTGTATTAATATATATATATACATTTGATCCTTAGATTTGCCTGTATGTTAACCCAGACTTTTTCCACTTTCCTGTACCGCTGAAGAAGGTCTCAGACGGAGGTCGAAATATGCATTCTCTTCTCGCACTCTGTCTTGTGTGGGTTTCCTCAAGTCATAACATTGCGTAGTGTTTTTTTCCCCCCTTCAGCGTTGCCGACGTATCTTCAGATGACGTTCGAGGACGGATCGCCCATCGACAACGGCACCGTGGCGGGGCCGTTCGACGAGGGGACCTCCCTCACGCTCATCTGTGAGTCCGGCGGTGGCAAGCCCGTGGCCAGGGTCTCCTGGTGGAACGGCAGCCAGACTCTCCCAGGTGAGTGCCAGGCATGACCCCTGTGTGACCTCTGTGATGGAATATGACAGGGAAATTCATTATGTGTTTGAAGGCTTACTCAGCCCTGTAACAACTTCAGACAGTATTACCCAGGCTGGCTCCTCCTCAGGAAAATTAGTGAATAGAAAAAGAAATAACAGACAAACACTATTATATAGAAAATATAAAACACTTAAATATGAAATATTAATCCTACATTAAACAAAATGAAAAATGAAAAATATAAATGATAACTGAATTCAACGCTAATATATATAGGGGTGTCTGGTGTTGGTGACACTGTTGTTGAAATTGTAGCCGTTGCTGATAGGGGGGGGGGTCGCAGGTGTTGGTTACAACTCACCGGTTCGTTCTTCACAGTATAGCCGTGAGTATTATATCCCGATGACAGGAAAGCAGGTTCTTTACCACTGCAATGATGAGGGGTTACGTCCTGCAATTTCATACAGGTGCACAGGTAATTAAATCCAAAAAGGGGAAGTCTCAGGACGTTAGTATATCTCCATGTTCTGCTCGTTGATTGGCAGGTGACCCTCTCTGTCATTCAAGCTGGAAAGATAGACAGGTTACCCACTGCTTAAGAAATCACTCTCCATGATAAATACAATACCTAAAAGATGTGGTGATTATTACAACAGTCAACCTAGAGCAAGACTGAAAGGACTAAGCTTATTATTGGTCAAAAGTGAAGCTTTCAACCAATAAATCCACTAGAATACAAGGCAGGCATGTACTTACAGTAGTGCTGGGAGCTGAGTCTAATGATTACTGTTTGGACCGGAGCCCCACACGTCACCTTTCGGGGGGGGGGGGAGGGAGGAAGAAGGAGGGGAAGGGATAGCGGGAGCTAGACTGACCCTACCTTAACAAGCAGCAGGCAGTCAAACTATCACTTTCCGGGTGGGGGAAAAAAGGCGGGAATAGCGGGAGCTTGACTTACCCTACCTTAACAAGTAGCCGGCAATGAAACTATCACTTTCGGGGAGGGGAAAAAAGGCGGGAATAGCGGGAGCTTGACTTACCCTACCGGCAATGAAACTATTGTTACTATATACTCCCTCTCTACTCCTATCTATTGAACTTTTCCCTCACAATGTGTTATGGAATATAACAGGGAAACCCATCCTGTTTGATGGAATGACAGGAAAATTCATCCTGTGTGATGGAATATGACAGGGGAAATCATAGCTAGCGTTCGTTCTTACTATATAATTATCATACAGAATAGGATAGCAACACAACGCTGATGTATCCACTTTTGCTAAATATTAAGAGAGATGCTCAGCAGTTGTCACTATCTGTGGTCAAGTACTTAAAATATCAGGTTAAATATAGGTTAATATATGTTAACCTAACCGACGTAACCGATAATAGCAAATGTAAAATTTTCATTAAGGTATATTCTTCAATAAACAGAGATATTCCTGATGAAAGGAGCTGCCCAAATTGCAGATAGCGTTGGATGACGGTATGTTTGCCATCTTACTCTGATCTTCCAGCTCAAGCTAACAGACTATGAACCATTCAGTCTAGTTGAATGTCTATACCCCTGCCTGTGCTCACAGACGTCTGGGGATCACTTCTCAAGTGAAAATCACAGGAAAAAATACAAAATACAAATATGACAAACTGTGAGGATACAGGGATTAACAACTATACGATATAGCTGGGGGAGGGAAGGTGGAAAGAGGGATAGATAGAAATATTGAAAATAAAGGTATGAAAACCCAACTTGTGTGGTGCAGTATGACAGGGTAACACAGAGTTTGTTCCTATCTTTTTACTTTCGTTTAACATTAAGTAACCTCACACATTGGGTCCCCCATAATGTTAATTCCCATATAGAATAGAAGCAGCAGTACATTGCGGGAGCTCCCACAAAGTAGCAGCACCCTGAGGGTGTTCCCAAATATGTAACTATCATAGAGAATAAGACAGCAGCACACTGCGGGTGTTACTAGTTGTCTTCACAAATAACAGGTCCTGAGACAAGACCTAACATACCAGACAAGAGACTGTCCTACACGCGAATATGACAAGACATGATGACACGACACGCGAGGACACGAGACATGACATGCGCGAGTCTGTCGTGAATGAATAAGAGAGTAAGGAAGTCATTTCACAGAAGACTTTGGAAGCAAAGACAGTATAAAAGACTTTGAAGAGGACAAAGAAGACATAAAGAGAGTCCTCTCTATAATAAAATACCATTTCTTGGCGCTCTTTACGAGCCGGTGTGGAGGGTGCAAGACGCCCCTGAGACTGCTTTATAATTATTATTATTATTATTAATTTACCGGGAAGCACTAAATCAGATGGGAGTCATACAGCGCCTTGGGGAGATCTTCGGCAGTCAGCTTCGATCCAGGAAAAGGGAGGGTAACTCAATTTCTTTGGGTAAAGAGAACTTCAGCAGCGTCAGTGTACTCTCCTGGAAGTGTGTACAGGTTGATGCCTCAAAATCAGCCAGAGTTATGACACAGATATGATGTGTTCTTGCAGAATCACTTATTGTCTCCAGGTTGAAATATTGCTATATACAAGGCAGGCAAGACTGCTAGGTTGCAAAACGTATATAGAAATTTCACTGCCCGTATACCCTCAAGCATCTGAACTGTTGGGAACGTTTGAAGTCTCCTCAGTTGTATTCCTTGGAACGTAGGCGAGAAAGATACATAATTTACACCTGGAAAACCCTGGAGAGACTGGTCCTAAACCTGAACATTAAAATCACCATGACAAAATACCTCTAATAAAAAACAAGGGAGTGATGAGCGAGAACTCGTCCAGTGTCAGAGGTCCCCCGACTCTTCAACGCCCTCCCTCAGTGCATAAGGAATATAACTAACAAACCTATGGTTATCTTTAAGAGGGGATTGGAAAAGTTCCTCGAATTAGTGCCTGACCAGCCGGGCTGTGGTTCGTACTTTGGAATGTGTGCAGCTATCAGCAACAGCCTGGTTGATCAGGCCTTGATCCTGCAGGTCTGGTCTGGGACAGGGTTGCGGGGGGCGTGACCCCCAGAAACGATTTTCAGGTATCATTCAGGTAATACAGAACAGGGCAACATAGGGCACTAGGAACTACAGCAGAACAGCACTAACGTAAGCTACCATACTAACTGGTCTGTAACAAGTTCCATAGATCATAACTCTGATATAACAAAAAAAAAAAAAACTGCAAATTACCCAAAATAAGATGAGATTTATTCCGGACCTGGGCTGAAGAGCACATGTAGGCCAGGATGAAATGCATAATGTAGTACATAGAGTAAATCTATTGAAAGTCAGCCTTGTACACAAACTCACTAAGAACCAGTGTCCTGAATATCTTGCTGTCAATATTGCCAAGGTTAGGAACCAAAGCCGGTATGGTATTAGGGGATGTGAATACAATTTTGTAGTACCTACAGTAGGTGACCAATCTACAAACACCTGTTACACAGTGGGTGGCCAGGCCACAAACACCTGTTACACAGTGGGTGGCCAGGCCACAAACACCTGTTACACAGTAAGTAGTCAGAAGGTGTTTATCCTTGATTCAGTTGTACGTGATCTGATAAATATAACCTTTCTAAAAGTTCAAATTTTTGCACGAGGCTTAGACTCAAGCTTATTTATTGACACAGGTAATGATCGTCTTGTTATGATCCAGAAGGATGGAGGAAACTGTTATTTAGTGATGGATCAGAATTGTTACTGATTTAGTGATGGAACAAAATTGTTATTGGTTTAGTGATGGAACAAAATTGTTATTGGTTTAGTGATGGAACAAAATTGTTATTGATTTAGTGATGGAACAAAATTGTTATTTATTGATGGAGCAAAATTGTTATTGGTTTAGTGATGGAACAAAATTGTTATTGGTTTAGTGATGGAACAAAATTGTTATTGATTTAGTGATGGAACAAAATTGTTATTGGTTTAGTGATGGAACAAAATTGTTATTGATTTAGCGATGGAACAAAATTGGATGCATTCGCAGTGTGTTGCTACTCTGCTTCACAATATATAATAGTTATATGGGAATGGAAGAAAATACAAAGACGAAGAATACTGAAGACGATTTCGAGGGGGGGATCAGCGCCCCCTCAGCTTTGTGGATAAGTTAAATCTCTCTCACTCTAACCACTTTGTCAGTTACGCAAGTACGTAAGATTACATAAAAAAACGCTAAACCTTCATGGTTCATCCAACCTCATTAAACAAATTTAATGCTAAAATTTAGATAATTGAGTACTAATATTCTACGAGTGTTTAGATGTCTCCATTTCTCTGCCAAGTATGAATATTGGTCTCTCCAGAAGACAGGTTGAACACACCCTCGAGGCTTCACAGTGTACACACCCTCGAGGCTTCACAGTGTACACACCCTCGAGGCTTCACAGTGTACACACCCTCGAGGCTTCACAGTGTACACACCCTCGAGGCTTCACAGTGTACACACCCTCGAGGCTTCACAGTGTACACACCCTCGAGGCTTCACAGTGTACACACCCTCGAGGCTTCACAGTGTACACACAGCGATCAGTAACTTGTAATATCTATTTATCTGTTCTACACCGAAAGATCTGTTTTGGTAAATTATATATAATGCCGTGCCGAATAGGTAAAACTTGCGATTTTGGCTTAAATAGCAACGCTCTTCTTGCCGAATAAGGCAAGCGAAAATTTGTGTATGCAGTAATTTCGCAAAAATTATTCTGAACCTAACGAAAAAAATATATTTCATTTTATTTATTATTAAATTGTTGTAAATTTATCTAAAATATATTTAGTTGGGTTAGGCTAAATTAAATTGCGCTTGTTATAATAAGGTTAGGTAAGTTACAAAATTCTTAATTTTTACATTAACATAAATGTAAAAAATATATTTTTAAACGTATAAGAGAAATTTTAAAAAGGACTTTATTTTAAATGAGTTTTTGCCACTTGATCAGTTTTACCTATTCGGTACGATAATAATATTATATATATATATATATATATATATATATATTATATATATATATATATATAATATATATATATATATATATTATGTATGTATGTATACACGTACACAGAGTAAGCTCTCTTGTAAAACTATTCTATTATGTGCGATTTTTTTAAATAACTAAAAAAGTGTTTCCAAAATTGCACAACCAGAATAAAATGAAGCATTTTTCCTGTGCTGTTGACTTTTGGATAAACCTTTTAAATCGCTTCTACAAAAATTTGACGATGTAGAGGAGCTTCATAAGGGAGATTATTGCACACAAAACAACGTTCACAGTGTCGTGGCTGAACAATTCATAATCTCCAGATTTTTGTAGGAACTGGTCAGTGATGTCCATTGTTTTTGATGTTGTTCAACAAGTTGTTATTGAGACAAGGTTTTGGTGTGTGTGGCGCTTTATTAAGTCATCACGAAGCTCTACACAGAGCGACCCTGTGAGGCACCTTGATGCCTGTGGACTCTTGACTGAAGTAACTGGACCTTAACTACCACTCCTTGGACTGAACCTAATTACCTCCCAATCCCCAGGCTTTGTATGACCTCTGCAGGTCATACAGCCTGTTTAATCTTACAGGTAATAATAGTCTACATACAGCCACACGTTCCTGTAAGAGTTCGTTTTGGCAACCTATTTCCTTAACCATTGTCGTAAAAACGTCAATTACATTGTTTAACAGGCACTGGTCCCGTTTTCTCACCCTGCAGGAGAGTACTCGGGCATCCTGGAACAGAACGGGGCAGGGGTGGGTAGGAACATCCTCCGTGTGCCCCTCACTAGAGCAGACCTGGCCTCCACGTTAACCTGCGAAGCTGAGAACGCGGCCATGACTAGTCCCTTCGTTGCTTCCGTCACTATCGACCTTAATGGTTAGTCTACTGCATCACACTGTGTGTGTGTGTGTGTGTGTGTGTGTGTTAGTTACCATTTTGTCCTAGGCACATGTCGATTAGACACTAGGCCTGTTGTGTGTGTAGGTGTGTGTGTGTGTTAGTGTGTGTGTTAGCGTGTTAGTTACCATTTTGTCCTAGGCACATGTCGATTAGACACTAGGCCTGTTGTAGGTGTGTAGGTGTGTGTGTGTGTTAACATATTTTGTCCTAGGCACATGTCGATTAGACACTAGGCCTGGTGTGTGTGTGTGTGTGTGTGTGTGTGTGTGTGTGTGTGTGTGTGTGGCTGCGCGCGCGTTTTACAGGTGTAGGTAGAGATGACATAAGTGTGAGTAGAGATGATATAAGTGTAAGTAGAAATGATGTAAGTGTAGGCAGAGATGATGTAAGTGTAGGCAGAGATGATGTAAGTGTAGGTAGAGATGATGAAGTGTAAGTAGAAATGATGTAGGTGTAGGTAGAGATGATGTTAGTGTAGGTAGAGATGATGTAAGTGTAGGTAGGGATGATGTAAATGTAGGTAGAGATGATGTAAATGTTGGTAGAGATGATGCAAGTGTAGGCAGGTTAAAATGCTTTGTAAATTTTTACAAGTTACTTCCACGGCGTGACGTACGACCTCTGGTCCACAGTACCGCCGGTGAGCGTGACAGTGACGGGAGCAGAGACAGCGACCTACGAGGGGGAGGAGGTGACGCTGACGTGTGTGGTCAAGGGGGCTCGACCAGCGGCTTCCATTACCTGGCTTAATGGATCAGTACCTGTCCAGGACGCTCCCACCCTCGTCAATGTTCAGGTAGGTTGTGTTGCACTACCTGGGTCAGCGGCAGACGAGGCTGGGAAGAGAAACAGCAGAGGAAGGAGAGAAGGAATGAAAGGTAGTGGGTATGAGGAATAAGTAGGGTGTGTCGAAGGAATAGGAAGTGGGTGGGTGGGGAGTTGATTAGAGGGTTACGAAGGGATAGGGAAGAAGGGGAAAGCGGGAGAGTTGTCTGGGAGTGGGTAGGTAGACAGGGATATGACTTGCTGAAAGTATAAAGAAAAGGGTGAATGAGAAAGGGAAACAATATGCTACATCATGTGATGAGCAGCTTGTCTCGCATCATTCTCATCCATCATACTTCGTAGCAGTTTAATAGCGAAATTTGGCACAAAATTTATACACCCAGAGATGAATGTCTCTCAGTATGTGTCAACTGAGAGTTGACTTTAATTCCTATTTTGGGAATGAAAGTCTCTTTGGCGGTAAACAGGTGATATATTGAGTATACCTGTTGTAGACTCCGGTGCTCGGTTCCAGACCAGGCCTTCTGGTTCATGACTTGATCAGTCAGGCTGTGTTCATGCTATCTACATGCAGTCCCACTCAGGCATCACATCCCGGCTGATCAGGAACTGACTCGAAAAACTTATCAAGTTCTCTCCTGAAGACAGCAAGACATCTTTTAGTAATTCCTCTCATATATAAGGAGAGAATTTTGAAAAGTCTTGTTTTAGAAATCACACGAAGTCTTTTGTACTTCTAAACCCACCTTCACTATAAGTGTTTAACAGTCATGTACCACCTCTTATCTCTGGTGAATTTCCAAACATTTAGCTGTATAGCCCTTGTGGCTTAGCTCTTCTTTTTGATTATAATAACCAAACATTTAACAAACACCAAGAAAATGTATGGGCCAGATGATGCACCTTTTGTATGAAAGGTAACATGTGTCAGAGTTTGTATTTACAATGGCTCGCCTGCTTTGCCTTTCATGGCCATGTATTAGTCCACGTACGTATTCAAGTTGTCCACGTACGTATTCAAGTTGTCCACGTACGCATTCAAGTAGTCCACGTACGTATTCAATTTGGCCACGTATTCAGGGTGACCACTCAAATCCTACTGATTATCGTCCTGTTATCCTCACTTCTACAGTCTCAAAATTGCATGAATTTATTGCTAACAAATTTCTTCAGAACCTTGAATACTGTTATCTCGTGCTTTAATTAACTTCGCTTCGAGATTATGTTGAATCCTTTACCAGAGATCTGTACATTTCCAGTAAGCTCGACTTTTCCAACTGTCATCTTCGTGCTTTTCCATGTGGACAGGTTTCGGACATCTTCACTCCATTTCTTATCATAACTATGCTTTGTCTCTGTCCTATTACCTAATCTCCACAGTGATATTCATACATTAGAATGGACATTCTGTAGCTCTCAGCGTTACGACTTTGTCTAATTCTCTGATGTCTTGCTGGTCACATTAATTTTAAAACAACACAGCTTTTGCTTAAGACATTAAAGCATACTCCTGCCGATTGCCATTTAAGAAAGCTTCCCCTCTACCTCGTCTAGACACCTTCGTCTCACGTGGGAAAGCTTCCCCTCTACTGAACCTGTTAATGCACTTCACGGTAAAACAATTCGTCTCATCAGTGCTCCTGATTTCACACCAACTCTTCAATAACTACATTTTCTGTCTGTAAATTCTAAAATGTATCTCTCGATCTCATTTTTTTTTAGGTTTATTCCCCTCGTCATGTTTAATTACATAGTATAGAGCGGATGAGAGTGCTCCCTTGTGTGTCTGCTAGTAATCCTACAAGATAACATTATGCTGTCTCTCTCGTCTGTTGTATAGTCACTACGTCCCTTCCTACCAACTACCACCCTACGTCTAACACTTGTACCCGTGGAACAAGCTACCACCTTACGTCTCCCACTTGCACTTGTGGAACAAACTGCCACCCTATATTTCCCACTAACACCTGTGTAACTACCACTTAGTCTCTTACACGTATAGAAGCAACCATCTTGTCTCCAATTAACACCTGTGGAATAAATTATATCCTATGTTTGCCCTTAAAACCTATAGAATAAACTACCAACCTATGCCTGTCCTAACTCCTTTGATCTGCAAGCTTTCCTTTTTAAACAGTTGCTAAAGTTCTTAAATTTGGTCCCCTGACTAAGCAATTAACAGGTGAGCAACTTTGCCTTTGTTGTAACTTTTTCCATTAAACAAAATTATGATGGGAAGGAAGTAGAAAATTAGATGTTCTTTGGCCACCACGATCTGAGAAAGGTATCCAAGTATCACATTAGACCAGCCCCTCTACCTCACTGTAAGCAAAAGGAATAGTGCAGTGTGCGGCATTAGTTTCTGAGGTAGTTAAATATAAACTCTGAAGACTTGAAGGTAATCAGAAGAGGCATGCATAAGTTACCACCAACTCAGTGGCCTACGAGTGGTAGATGAAGTACCAACATAGATGCCGATTAGCCACTACCGAACCACCGAATCGAATGATAAATCCTCAGTCAAAATACTTGTCATTCCGGGAGGAAGCAACCGGCTCATTGTTTCTCAGAATAGAGACAACAGCAGCATTTTAAATATTTCAGAAATAGAGCCAATCCTCGGGATGTTTGCAGAGCTGCCTTTCAAACTGGGGGCGAAATCAGGGCTAGACTTAACAACAGCAACAGGATGTTTGGCTGAGTCTGGCTCTTGCGTCATTGCCATGAACCATGTCTGTGCTGGAGTCGTCTGAAACTGCTTCTGCAGAGGAATCAGGAGAGGAAATAGACGCCTCGACAGACCTACATGCTAAATGATTTGGAAGAGAAAGAGCAGAGAAGTGCAGAAAAAAATGGGAGACTGCCAACTGACTAATAAAAATTAATCAGTGCCCCCCTCATCATATTCCACACCAACACAACAAGCAGTGCCAGCTTTGTTTCAGGGACAGTCCCGTACCATATCCGTGGCAAAGGCCCAGGATGCCTAGCCTAGAATTAACAGAACAAGGCTTAATAAAACCGCCTATTTAGACTACGAGTGTTAGAGGTGCTGGCAGCATTAGCAAGCAAAGGTCGAGAGCGAACCTGCAAAACCATCCTTCTTGGATCCGCAGGTGACCTCCAGTAAGACTTCCGTCACCAGTCAATTAATGGTTGTACCATCTCGGGGTACCCCAGAAGGTCCACTTGGCGGTCTGATCTTTGAGTGATGCGGGCCACCTCAGCACTGCAGTTGGTTAGAGAATGTAACGAAATTTAACGAAAGGATGGGAAAGAAAGCTAAGTAGAGGAGGGTAAATAGAAGAAAGGGAAGGATACTGAGTTCTTAGGCTAAGTTGGTCAAACCATATTACCACATTAAAATGACAACTTCTGAGGGATAAAGTACCTATAGTTTGGGAAGCGATTACATTTTATCCAAAGAGAGAAGAGCCCTACTTCTATGAATCAAGAGCCTTTCATCAATATCAATCTCCCCCTCAGCTCTCTACCACCTCCGTGACATAGTAAACACTGGACCTCTAAGAGGCTGGACGCCAAGGACTAGCACAGTTTCGAACTATTATCACTCAAAACTAATGTCTTCAGAATGATTTCAAGAATCTGCATCCGCTCCACCAGCTTTACCGATTTTTTTTTACTCTGTCGCCGAAATGCAGTAGGTTTATGATACAAGATTTACCTGCTCTAGCCTTTGTTGGCTCTCGTGAAGCAGTGGTTCTCCAGGTGCTCCACCACTCATGAAGCAGTGGTTCTCCAGGTGCTCCACCACTCATGAAGCAGTGGTTCTCCAGGTGCTCCACCACTCGGGAAGCAGTGGTTCTCCAGGTGCTCCACCACTCGGGAAGCAGTGGTTCTCCAGGTGCTCCACCACTCGGGAAGCAGTGGTTCTCCAGGTGCTCCACCACTCGGGAAGCAGTGGTTCTCCAGGTGCTCCACCACTCGGGAAGCAGTGGTTCTCCAGGTGCTCCACCACTCGGGAAGCAGTGGTTCTCCAGGTGCTCCACCACTCGGGAAGCAGTGGTTCTCCAGGTGCTCCACCACTCGGGAAGCAGTGGTTCTCCAGGTGCTCCACCACTCGGGAAGCAGTGGTTCTCCAGGTGCTCCACCACTCGGGAAGCAGTGGTTCTCCAGGTGCTCCACCACTCGGGAAGCAGTGGTTCTCCAGGTGCTCCACCACTCGGGAAGCAGTGGTTCTCCAGGTGCTCCACCACTCGGGAAGCAGTGGTTCTCCAGGTGCTCCACCACTCGGGAAGCAGTGGTTCTCCAGGTGCTCCACCACTCGGGAAGCAGTGGTTCTCCAGGTGCTCCACCACTCGGGAAGCAGTGGATCTCCAGGTGCTCCACCACTCGGGAAGCAGTGGTTCTCCAGGTGCTCCACCACTCGGGAAGCAGTGGTTCTCCAGGTGCTCCACCACTCGGGAAGCAGTGGTTCTCCAGGTGCTCCACCACTCGGGAAGCAGTGGTTCTCCAGGTGCTCCACCACTCGGGAAGCAGTGGTTCTCCAGGTGCTCCACCACTCGGGAAGCAGTGGTTCTCCAGGTGCTCCACCACTCGGGAAGCAGTGGTTCTCCAGGTGCTCCACCACTCGGGAAGCAGTGGTTCTCCAGGTGCTCCACCACTCGGGAAGCAGTGGTTCTCCAGGTGCTCCACCACTCGGGAAGCAGTGGTTCTCCAGGTGCTCCACCACTCGGGAAGCAGTGGTTCTCCAGGTGCTCCACCACTCGGGAAGCAGTGGTTCTCCAGGTGCTCCACCACTCGGGAAGCAGTGGTTCTCCAGGTGCTCCACCACTCGGGAAGCAGTGGTTCTCCAGGTGCTCCACCACTCGGGAAGCAGTGGTTCTCCAGGTGCTCCACCACTCGGGAAGCAGTGGTTCTCCAGGTGCTCCACCACTCGGGAAGCAGTGGTTCTCCAGGTGCTCCACCACTCGGGAAGCAGTGGTTCTCCAGGTGCTCCACCACTCGGGAAGCAGTGGTTCTCCAGGTGCTCCACCACTCGGGAAGCAGTGGTTCTCCAGGTGCTCCACCACTCGGGAAGCAGTGGTTCTCCAGGTGCTCCACCACTCGGGAAGCAGTGGTTCTCCAGGTGCTCCACCACTCGGGAAGCAGTGGTTCTCCAGGTGCTCCACCACTCGGGAAGCAGTGGTTCTCCAGGTGCTCCACCACTCGGGAAGCAGTGGTTCTCCAGGTGCTCCACCACTCGGGAAGCAGTGGTTCTCCAGGTGCTCCACCACTCGGGAAGCAGTGGTTCTCCAGGTGCTCCACCACTCGGGAAGCAGTGGTTCTCCAGGTGCTCCACCACTCGGGAAGCAGTGGTTCTCCAGGTGCTCCACCACTCGGAAGCAGTGGTTCTCCAGGTGCTCCACCACTCGGGAAGCAGTGGTTCTCCAGGTGCTCCACCACTCGGGAAGCAGTGGTTCTCCAGGTGCTCCACCACTCGGGAAGCAGTGGTTCTCCAGGTGCTCCACTCAGGAAGCAGTGGTTCTCCAGGTGCTCCACCACTCAGGAAGCAGTGGTTCTCCAGGTGCTCCACCACTCAGGAAGCAGTGGTTCTCCAGGTGCTCCACCACTCAGGAAGCAGTGGTTCTCCAGGTGCTCCACCCCAGGAAGCAGTGGTCTCCAGGTGCTCCACCACTCAGGAAGCAGTGGTTCTCCAGGTGCTCCACCACCCAGGAAGCAGTGGTTCTCCAGGTGCTCCACCACATTCGCTGTTTTTCTGCTGGCCGTAAATCTCCATGCGTGAAGTGATACAATGTGGTCTTAAGAGTCAGTAGAGAGTTAGAGCGAATGCTCTCAAAATTAGGTAGGAATATAGGGTTAAGAAAAGAGTGAAGATAGAATTAAGTTTGATATAAGATAAAAATGAAATATATGCAATAAGCTCACAGTAAACAGGTGATATCGCAACATGCACAACAACCACTGTGAAAAAAATAGCGAAATTCCTAGCGCTTTCGTGACTTTTCGCATTATCAAGTTCCTTCCTAATGTGAGAAGTCACGAAATCGCTTAGAATTTCACTATATATATATATATATATATATTATATATATATATATATATATATATATATATATATATATATACATTATAATTATATATATATACATACATTATATATACATATATATTATATATGTATACATTATATATATACTATACATATATTATATATATGCATTATATATATATATATTATATATATACTATTATATACATTATATATAATATATATTTTATATATATATATAATTATATATATACTATATATATATATTATATATAATATATTATATATATATAAAATTATATATATATATATATATATATATATTATATAATAATATATATATATGTATATTATATTTATATATATACATTATACACATATATACATTATATATATATACATTATATATATACATATATACATATATATATATATATTATATACATTATATATATACACACATATATATATATAGACATCATCAAGTATATCTTTACTGGTAAGAATATATTAAATTCAAATTAATTTTTGACATCAAATATCAAAATAGTGTCATGTTATTGTGACTCAGGTGACCTTTGACCTTGCCTTCCCTCCCCATCCCTTTCTTTCCCTGAACGCCTGTGAATAATTGATGCCAGAGGTCAATAATTGTTATCTTGCTTTTCCCTGCTCGCTGGCTGCTTCTGCTGCTCCCACCCTCAGGAGGACTCTGCCGAGATTCGTCTAGTAAGTTGCAGAAGAATGTGACTGTTTGGGTTGCTGTTGGTTGTGGTGGTGTTGGTGGATGTAGAGTGGTTTGAGATGTATGTGCTGCTGCTGCTGCTGGTGATAAGATGGTGAAGTGGCCGTAGGACTTATTGCATGCTTGTGTAGGTGGTGTCACCCTTGCTTTTGCTGCTGCTATTGCTTCTGCTTATGATGCTACTGCTGCTGCTATTGTTGCTGCTGGCCCACTTAGTGCATTACCTAACTTAGACCAAATAATCCCCGTTTTCGTTCTTTCCTATTTCTTTTCGTAATTATAGTTATAAGAATATTGACTAACACTTCGTAATTTCCCAAATTCGCCATCACTTGTCCTACAGCTAAAGAGCAACTAAGCATCACCATCTAACCTCCCACCGAACCTTAACATCCTCTACACTCCAACAGCACGGTAAATCCCAAGACCTACTTGCCCCCCGCACTCTGGATCAAAACATGTGCCTTCTTGATGGTCCAGCCACAACTTTAAAAAACTTGCCTCACACCCTTCCAATCCTTGGAAATCCACTATACATCCTTGCATCCACCCAAGATTTATACAAACTCTTAATCAGCCTATCTTGCTGAAGCGTGTCTACGGAGGAAAGCCGTTTCAATGGCATCTCTCTTCAATACCTGCGCTCCAGTGGCGGGTCATCATATGACTAAGACCACCGTCAGGAAACTTTTGTCCTGTTTCCTGACGAATCTTGCCTAACCTACAACTTAAAGTAGCGAAAGAAAAGGAAAGTGCAGTGACATAGACTGCAAGAAGAACATCACATTTAAGTAGAAAAATAACATGATTTTTTTGGTATAATAAAAAGAAGTGTAGGAAGTGATAAAGATTTAAGGAACAAAAGGGGTCTTTAAGAAATTAAATACAGTAATAAACAAAATTGCCCTGGAAAGGTGATTTCCACGACTGTTACACTGAAGCATCATCATCCATAATTAAGATCGAACTATACAATATATCACTGTTAATATGAGGATTTTTTATTCTACCGAGTATGAGCCATGACCAAGACAAAAAATACCCTGGAAACAAAACATTGAGGCTTGAAGTGAGGTTCCACAGTGACTGCCCAGAATCCAGTGACCAGTGTCACTCGCTGCTTATGGTCAGTTGTTAACTGTTGACTACGTACTGACAGTGGCGAGTGTGAGCACCCTGCTCCTGGGGCGTAGTGTTACCTGCGCATGGCTGGGGTGATAACCTTCCCCAGTGTGCGACGATGACACCTCAATATGCATTACATACGCTTAGTTGGATTAACGTAACTATCAGAGTAGTACTTTACCAAGTCATGACATGATAAAAAGATCTACTCTGAGTGAAACGTTGTTTTAATAAAAGTTTATCCAAATGTCTTCCTAGCCACGTCTCCTGGCATTGCTCGTCCACATTTACCCTCGTCCTCGTTTTCTAATGTGATTGTGGTTACCAACTTTACACACACTGATGTCCACATTTCAGTGAGATAAAGTATTAAAATTTTAGAAAAGGAATGAAAGGGAGAGAAATTGACACGGTATTAAGATCAACGACCGTTTGTATTTATATTCATATGGGTAGCCCTAAATCCGTAGGGGTGATACAGTGCTTGGGAAGATGGTATACAATCTTTGATCCACGGACTTAATGGTCCAGGACGGAGCGAAACGTCGTGATAAAGTTAGTCTCCTAGGTGCGGGTTTTTAGTGAATTGTTTCAGCCACGGTACTGTGACTTTATGGTCTTTTACAAAGGGAAGAACCAGTTCCTTTGATCAAGAGCTCGTCTCACTGACGTCAAGGAACCTTCCTTGTGGTGGTGTTGATAAGGGCCTGCCTTCTATGGGCCAGTAGGCCTTCTGTAGTGTTCCTCCATTCTTATGTTCTTATTAGAGAATGAGGGATGAGAGAGGTTAGAGATGCAGACGAAGGTATTCCAGTCTCGGGAGTCACACACACACACACAAGCTAGTGAATCTTACCATGAAATTTTAGCTTTGGTAAATTCTATAGCGAGTGTCGTTGCGCTGGGCGAGGGTTAACAAGCTCATGGTGTTAGCATATTTAAAGTCCACCGAGTGATAATTAAAATATAAGGAGCTAACCATGGCAAGACATTTTATAATTAAAACTATTGCTTAAGCACTTAATGGTAAACGGTTCAATATGATCACGTGGAACATCGTAGTTTACTGAATAGAAAAACTTTTAAAAGAAAACGAAATAAACTATGTGAAATTAAATAAACTATTTGATGAAAGGTTAGAAGAAGAGCAAACTTTGAAGTTGTTTAAAAGTTTTTTTAGGTGTTTTGAGTTCTGAAAGAAAGAAAAAAAAAGGTAATTGAGAGTCACCTGAGCAGGTCCCAGGTGATTATCTTGGGGAGTGAACTTCCTTTATAACCTGACTGACCGTTGCTACGTTCAGAGATCAGTGACTCACTTAAAGTAAATAAAAGCAAGTGAAGAAGGTTTCATGCAGTTTTATCTCTGTAATCCATAAAAGCAAAATAAAAGTCATTTTTCTTAATATGAATTTTGTTGCGGAGAATCAACATATTGTTTCTGATTCACTCCTAGACCCGTCTCTTTCTCCCTGCCTGCTCTCAGCCCTGCCTTCCTTCAGCCCTGCCTTCCTTCACCCCTGCCTTCCTTCAGCCCTGCCTTCCTTCAGCCCTGCCTTCCTTCAGCCTGCCTTCCTTCAGCCCTGCCTTCCTTCAGCTCTGCCTTCCTTCACCCCTGCCTTCCTTCAGCTCTGCCTTCCTTCAGCCCTGCCTTCCTTCAGCCCTGCCTTCCTTCAGCCCTGCCTTCCTTCAGCCCTGCCTTCCTTCAGCCCTGCCTTCCTTCAGCCCTGCCTTCCTTCAGCTCTGCCTTCCTTCAGCCCTGCCTTCCTTCAGCCCTGCCTTCCTTCAGCCCTGCCTTCCTTCAGCTCTGCCTTCCTTCAGCCCTGCCTTCCTTCACCCCTGCCTTCCTTCAGCCCTGCCTTCCTTCAGCTCTGCCTTCCTTCACCCCTGCCTTCCTTCAGCCCTGCCTTCCTTCAGCCCTGCCTTCCTTCAGCCCTGCCTTCCTTCAGCCCTGCCTTCCTTCAGCCCTGCCTTCCTTCAGCTCTGCCTTCCTTCAGCCCTGCCTTCCTTCAGCCCTGCCTTCCTTCAGCTCTGCCTTCCTTCACCCCTGCCTTCCTTCACCCCTGCCTTCCTTCACCCCTGCCTTCCTTCAGCTCTGCCTTCCTTCAGCCCTGCCTTCCTTCAGCCCTGCCTTCCTTCAGCCCTGCCTTCCTTCAGCCCTGCCTTCCTTCAGCCCTGCCTTCCTTCAGCCCTGCCTTCCTTCAGCCCTGCCTTCCTTCAGCTCTGCCTTCCTTCAGCTCTGCCTTCCTTCAGCCCTGCCTTCCTTCAGCCCTGCCTTCCTTCAGCCCTGCCTTCCTTCAGCCCTGCCTTCCTTCAGCCCTGCCTTCCTTCAGCTCTGCCTTCCTTCAGCCCTGCCTTCCTTCAGCCCTGCCTTCCTTCAGCCCTGCCTTCCTTCAGCCCTGCCTTCCTTCAGCCCTGCCTTCCTTCATCCCTGCCTTCCTTCAGCCCTGCCTTCCTTCAGCCCTGCCTTCCTTCAGCCCTGCCTTCCTTCAGCCCTGCCTTCCTTCAGCCCTGCCTTCCTTCAGCCCTGCCTCTCTCTCCAGCCTCCTCTTCTGAACCTTGTATAAACCACAGCAACATCACTCTTGCCTCGCTACGGCTTACCTCTGCTCCATATTCCTTTTCTTTCTTAAATATTTCACATCTTTTAATTAAATGCGAAAAAAATCTGTACGTTTACATACTTTTACTCTAGTTTTATTTTTAAAAATGGAATTTCATTAAAATGGCTTGAAAAAGCTAAATAATCCAAGTCTCAGTCTCCTCAAATAATTTGATTTTGAAAAACTTGCAGCTTATTTCATACATTTGCCGCATCGCTTCCCGGACATCTTACGGTAATCGATCTTAGAAATCTGTAAATGCAACAGTCGGCTGTCTTTATTAACGTCGATGTTTTTTTTCCAAGCAGAGGTTTGATAAAGCTCATGCAGGAGTGAAACGATGTCGTTAATGCAGAAATCTACCGTCTAAGCGAAACATTGTCGTAAGTGATGGTACCCACAGCATCTGAGTCCCGAGTGGTCCACCGTGTCGGTATTAACTTCTGACATTGACACTTGCTAGTGCTTCTGGGGATTATGTTCGTCACGACCCGCTTTCAGACCAGGCTTACTGGGTTGGAGAGGAAGTATTACAGGATTAAGAGCTATTAGGAAGCAGATACAAAAATGTAAAGGTAGTTGTATACTAAGTAAATGTTTGTAAGATTTACCTGTCATCTCAAGGGCTGAGATACAAAAGATCAATAATCCTGTCAGGTTGCAAAGCAAGTTTAGCAGGTTTCCGTTTCACATTCATTTCACATGAGCACAGAACCTTCCTGGATGGTTGCTGTCGTCCAGCCTAATATTTGGTGTGTGTCACTCTCTTTTGACAGGAATGTAGTATCTCCCTGGAGGGTTCCTGTCTAACAGTCTACAGTACTACCTACAAAACGTAACATTCCGGTTGCAATAAACAGTTACTTTCCCTTTATATAAGTACTATCCACCTATATGCTAAAATTCAAACACTTCATCCACACATCTTAACATTTCAGCCCACCTCATTCCCCCGTAGTCATACTTTGTCTTGTCCTTAGTATTTCAATAAAAATTCTACCATACACTTTTCCAAGCATACTTAACTTTACACGAAGGAAATATGCATTCTCTCTGCCGATTCTTTGGAACCTTTTCCTCCTGTAAACATTGCAAAAATCTGACCCCACCTTCTTTCATCCTTTTAATCCTGTCTATTCCTCCTGCTCTTTTTTTTTTCATTTGCATCCTTTTTTAGTGCCTCAGCCTTTTCATTCAGAATTCTGTCTCTTCCTTTCTAACAAGTTCCTTTACCTTCTAACAAGTTCCCTGACCTTCTAAAAAGTTCCCTGACCTTCTAACAAGTTCCTTGACCTTCTAACAAGTTCCTTGACCTTCTAACAAGTTCCTTTACCTTCTAACAAATTCCCGGATCTTCTAACAAGTTCCTTGACCTTCTAACAGGTTCCCTTCCCATGTCCCTTGCATGAATTCTTTCCCTTCTTATCCTTCACGTTTAACACCTCCCTCAGGAGAGGTACCTTGATGCCGGCGAGAGGCTCTTGAACCAAGGGGTAGAGGCTACTCTCCTTTCGGATCGAGCCTGATAATCTCTCATTCCACGAATGTCGTGACCCCTGGGGGATTCTCAGCGCTGCCTCTACGACTATAATACACCCAGTGAGTTTACAGCGTAATGACCTACATAGTCCGACCATAGTCCTGATTCAGGACTATACTCGACAGCTTCAGGACTCCTGAAGCTGTGTAAAGGTTTTCCCTCCAACTACTCTTCATCTGGCTCGCTTCACTGTGTGCCTGGAAACTGACGTCTGTTGTACGTCTGCGTTTTTTAGCTGCCTGGTGCTCTTGTCTGCGTGCTTGCCTGGTTATCTCCCAGTTATCGATTCCCTGTGTGTGTGTGTGTGTGTGTGTGTGTGTGTGTGTGTGTGTGTGTGTGTGTGTGTGTGTGTGTGTGTGTGTGTGTGTGCGCGCGTCGCTTGAGATTACTATGATAGTCAAACTGTTTCACATCTTTTGATTTCTGTAATTATTTCCCCGTATTCTATTATAAATCCGAGTAGTTACCCCGTGTTCTGTTCTATTTTTTTCCCGTCTTCTTTTATTCTGTTTTTTTCCAGTGTTTTTATTGTTCTTTCAGTATTACTTTTAACTTTGCATTTGCTACACTCGGTAGCAGCTCCTCGTTCCAGCTACCATTACCAGTTTTATTACACCGCTTCTTCGGTAACTCATAACTGTGGTGTCTTGTTCTGTGTGTATATTCAAGGAAGAAAAATCTTGAACTGGTATGTTTCTCAGACCTCGCCTTCGTGTTGATAATCTCGAGGACAACGGCATTGCTTGTGGCCTCGGGCAGCAGCAGCAGCAACAGCAGCACTTACTAGTAGTAGTATTAGTAGCAGAAGCAACAACAGAACTCAGTTGTAGTAGTAGCAGCAAAACTCACTAGTAGTAGCAGCAGCAGTAGCAGCAGAAGCACAGTAGTAGTAGTAATAGCAGCAGTAGCAACAGCAGCAGCAGCAACAGCAGCAGCTGCTCGCACTGTTCACCTGATTTTCTTCCCCTCTTTCTGGCTACAAATCGCCTACTCCCCCATGATTATAAAATAATAATAAAATAATAATAATACAAATCGCCTAACAAGATAATGATCTCTTCCCCTCGCCTAAAGCGTTGATTTTCACCTTTGTGCTTCCCTGCGTAAAAAATGGATAAGTGCTGACTTAATGCCGGGTGTTGTATGCGGTACCGCAGCTTTAAAAATGAAAGTCTAGGGTGTTGGTTACTGCGTGCAACCAGAGGCAAGACATGCACCATCACCCCATGAAGGAAGTGGTTATAAATGCACATCACCCCATGAAGGAAGTGGTTATAAATGCCCATCACCCCATGCAGGAGGTGGTTACAAATGCACATCACCCCATGCAGGAAGTGGTTACAAATGCACATCACCCCATGCAGGAAGTGGTTACAAATGCACATCACCCCATGCAGGAAGTGGTTACAAATGCACATAAACCTATGCAACCATTGGACAGAAATGCACCATCACCCAATGCAACTACTGGGCAGACTACTTCACACCATATAACTATAGGGCAGAATTTGTTACCCCATGCGACTATTGGATAGAATTTAATCACCCCATGCAACTATTGGACAGAATTTAATCATCCCATGCAACTATTGGACATAATTTAATCACTCCATGCAACTATTGGACAGAATTAAATCACCCAGTGCAACTATTTTGCAGTTCTTCAACATCTCATGCAAAAAAAAGTGTTTGGAAAAGCACCATTACCCCCATGCACTGCAGTGATTTACCAAGATTTAGTTTACTAACTTGCATTGGTTCTAGTATATTAAAACGTGGTACAAGTGTGTAAATCTTTAGAATTTTGTGAGGCAAGTCCCATGATAGAATATAAATTATCTGAGTTCAGAGGACACCTTCCCCACCTACCTGGAAGTTGTCCCGGGGGTTAACACCCCCGAGGTCCGGTCCATAACCGGACCGTGGGGTAAATCAGCCCTCCATGAGTTGAATAAACCGAACGGGTTAACTGCATTACAGTAAGCGTGTAATTTTCAACGTATGACCGGCAAAATTTCATTAACCGTTTTGCCTAAGGATCAGAAGAATCTAACTTATTTCATTCCTCGGATCAAACCCGATTGATTCCCATTCGAGATTAGCTCTTTCGTTTAGATATGATAATTCAATAACGTCTGTATTTGCATTACTGAATGTACTCGGCTTACCGAGAGGACCTGGGTTCGATCCCCGTACAAGGTGGCACGTGTGGGCTAGTCTCCTGACACCTACTGCCCCTGTTATCTAGCAGTAAATAAATATCTAGGCGCTAGTAAACTGTTGTGAGTCACATTCTGGGAGATAATCAAGACTCCAATGTAATTAGGCCACACCTGCTTGGGTTTCTTGACCCATCCTGGGTCACTAATAACATCAACAACAGCTTCTTGTGCTGTAACATCTGTCTGTCTTGTGTGTCTATTATTGTTAATCATTTGGATTCAAACACACAATGTTGATTGAATATCAGTACTTACCCTCTCTATCCCGGGATGGTCTTCCCTATCCCGGGATCGTCCTCTCTGTCTCAGGGATGGTCTTCCGTATCCTGGGGATGGTCTTCCATACATGCACACTGACCACTAGGTGCTCAGTACTGACCCTGGACAAAACAAATCAAGACAGAACAGTCTGGTTCTAGTCGGGTAATTCCTGGTAAAGAAAATTTTGTCTGTTCATTACCCAGAAAATTATAAACTAGCAGAAAAACATTCGCAAAATACGAACAGAATGTTTTTATCAGTTTTAGACATTCTAAGACAAAGTTTAATTATATTCATGGAGAAGCGGTAAATTCACAAAGGGCTTTGAATGCGTGTTGTATATGTATAGTTTTATGACGAGCGTTGAGTGGTTTATGTGGTCAAAGTGCTCAGTAAATGCTACCACTACAGCACCTGAGAATGTGAGGTAATCAAGTTGGATACAAGGGAAGGGTAGAACAACTAAAATTCCTTAGATCAGGAGCTTGAAGGGCGTACGAGAATTGTTACACTGAAATCTTCCACCAGGGCATTTTCTAACAGAAAAACTAGTATTAATATTCCAAACTAATGCATATCACTGTTCACACGCTTCAACCAGGTTTTCTCCGTGTTGAACTAGGCTCTGCTCGGCTCACAGTGTAGCCCGGTTGATCCACTGTTCAACTATCTGATAGCAAGGCCTGAAGCTATTACTAACTTTTCTGATGCTCTTTTATTATTGATATCTTCCTCCTGATTCTGACCCTGTTTTTTTTCCTGCTAGCCTGACGACACCTACGAGACTCGAAGTCGACTGAACTTCCAGGCCACTCGCTTCGAGAACGGCCAGAAGTTCTCGTGCGAGGCTACGAACGTCGTTCTCGAGAACAGAGACCAGGAGCCTATGGAGAGTGTTGTCAGTCTGGACGTGCACTGTAAGTGTTGCTCTGGTGGTGTTACATGTTTTGCTACCTATTTGTGTGCAAGACAAAGGTGCTGAGCAAGCTTCTGAAAGCGTTTTGCTCTGTGTAGCGCTTTATCGAGTATGGTTCGACTTTATAAAGCTCGACAAAGAGCTAAACGTTGTGATAATTTTCTTAGGCACCTGTATTTTCAATACATTCGGTGGTACGCCTTTATGTCCTTGTTTGTGGTTGCAGTTGTAGACATGTTCTGTGTGTGTGTGTGTGTGTGTGTGTGTGTGTGTGTGTGTGTGTGTGTGTGTGTGTGTGTATAATATCCTATTTCCACTTACAGTTTACAGTACTACTCGTAGCGTGTCGTCTTCATAGTTTAAATTTTGTGAGCGTTTTTGTGTGTAAATGTGGGAGTCACTATGTGTGCGTTTGTTAGTATAAATGTTACGCTACTGTAGCACCATGCACAGTGAAATTTATCACTGATACAGGTGCTTAAAGCTGACTACATGTGCCTCACTGTGCTAATGTGTCGTCCAGGCGAGTGTCTGGTATTGGTATATCTCTGATCACCCCTTCATAAAGTTGGCTCGCAGCAGCAGCAGGTTATAAATAATGAGGGGGGAACAAGAGGTCTTAAAGAAAGTAGCAGTATTAGCTGCTTTGGTTGGAAGTGATGCAAGTTTTAGGTCACATTTAAAGTGATGACTGATGCAACTTAGGATTCTTTATTAACCCACGAATTCGAGATCGTAACTAGAAGTTGTATAATTTACTTATCCTTTTTTCTTTTTAACTGTGACTTGTTGTCGGCCCCGCAAAGTGACTTATCTTTTACTAAGGGAATAAAATAAGGGATTGTGTGGAAAAGAACAGGATTTTATTTTCACTTTATTGCCGAAGCGATTTGGTAACAAAGCATCTGGATGCTCAGAAGGTCGGAAGAGTATGAGAAATGCAAGAAATGTGCCTTACATGTAGTGGTGTTGGCGTGTGTATGCTAGGTGAGGAACTCTCTCCTACAGATGCTCCCATCGTGCGGGTGAGTCCAGATAACGTCACGGTGAACGAGTCTATGGACGTGCTTATTTTCTGCCAGTACACAGCCAACCCGCCCAAGCTCAGCCACGTCTACTGGTAAGTCAACCATCACTCATCTATGTTGGTTTTTTAAAGGTGTTTTTTTTCCACTCCTACACTTCTCTCTCTCCCTCAAGAGGTTAATTGAAGATGGTGAGGGGCTCTTGATCATATGAATGGGACCTGTTCTCTTCCTTGAACTTGAACCTAATGCCTTCCATTCCCCAGGCGCTGCACGACTCCTACGAGTTTAGTACCCCATCCTCCTCCTAATAATAATAATAATAATAATAATAATAAACATTTCCTCTACTAGCTGCAAAATTGTTTTTCTCCTACACTGATTAGCAACAAAACAGTTTTTCCACTCCTACGCTGATTAGCTTCAATGGTGTTTGCGATGTGATTTGGTCATTATCAGTGGTGGCAACATCTGGGGCTCACTGAGCGCGACGACTTTGATGGTGTTTGTCAGAGCTCTGTGTATGACGGTGTTTTATTATGCAAGAGTAACTTTTCTAGTGCGTCTCTTTCACGTTGGAAATCCTGGTAATAATAATGTTGCTGTCAAAGATTTTAGTTCTGGTAGCACTGAGACGCATCTCCTAAACCTAATTACCTCTGCACATGTTGAACTTCATTTTACCATACATTAGCTCAGCTTCCGGAGACTTTGGTCTGCTATCTTCAGTGGTGAGGACCTTCAAGACCAAGGTTAACGTCCCTCAGGGCTCAGTATTACAGTAAAAATGTATTTTGGTATTTCGATCTCTTCTGTAACTATTTGTTTCTCTATCACTGTCAATGAAAATCTGAAGATCTCAGATTTCAATAAATACGGCAGAACTTCCCTCGTCTGTTTCGCAATATGTGGTTATATCTTAGTACATAAATGTGTGCGCGTATTTATACACACACACCCCATATATAAATATATATATATATATATAATTATATATATAAATATATAAATTATATTATAAATATATAAAAATTTTATATATAAATTTTTATAAAAATATAAATAAATTATAATATAAAATATATAATTAAAATATATAATATTATATATAATATAAAAAATATTAAATATATATTATATTTATATATATATATATATTATATATATATAAATATTTAAAATATATATATATAATTTATATATAATTTTATAAATTATATATATATATAAATATTTAAAATAATATATAAATATATTATAAATAAAATATATATATTAAAATATATTATAAATATTATATATATATAAATATTATATATAATATATATATATATATATATATTAAAAATAATATATTTAATAATAATATATATATAAATTTTATATAAAAATTTTATATTTATATTTTAAAATATATATATTAATATATATTATAAAATATATATTTATTATAAATATATAAATATAAATATAATATATTTTATAAAAATATATATATATATTAATTAAAATAATATATTTTTAATAAAAATATATATAATATATATTATATATAATATATATAATTTAAAAAAATATATATATTATATAAATATATATATAAATAAAATTTTAAAATTTTATATATATTTATTTTAAAAATATATATAATTTTTATATATATAAAATATTATTTAAAATATATATTAAATATATATATATAAATATATAATATATATTTTTATAAAATAAATATAATATAAAATAAATTAAAATATATAAATCGGTAATAGAGGCCCGCTGAAAAGGGGCTGTTCATCCCAAACCCCCAGCTTGGTCTGTGAAGTCCTCTTCAGTACTACAAAATGCAGACCAAACTCATTCTTAAAAAAAGGTAATGCAGTCCAGAGCTTCACCTGCAGGAGTGAGCCACAAACTGGACCTGACAAACCACATTTGCTGCTAACTTAAATCCATTTACTTCTGCCAACTTTTATACATTAAACAAAAAAATTTAGTAATTGTCCAAAGTTAAGACTTGTTAATCGATGTTGCAGCTTCTGTTGCCTAGTTATTTCTCTCTATATTAACTGTGACTCCTTGTACTCATTTATAGGTGGTTGAGGGGTTTGAATCTCAGTCGCTACCTTTGATAAGCTCTGAGAGTTTTTGTACTTGTTTGGTCAACCAGGCTGTTGCTGCTGGTCCAGCCTTTTAATTGGTTTTGACAGGGTTCGCTCTTGCATTATCATTTTTCAGTCACAGGGGAGCACTAAAGCCGTATGGGTCATACAGTGCCAGGGGAAAGGGAGGTAATTAAATTTGATGGAAGGAAAGCGAGGCTAGTTCCAAATCTTTGGATCAAGAACATTCCACTGGCATCCTGGTACTTCCCTTGAAGGGTCCCTCACGCATTACTTCATGGGCTATGCCATGCCTATTAGTAAAGCTGTGTATAAAATTTGACCGACTCTGGATAGCGGACTTAAGGCGACAAACACCCTGGGGAACTTCGCAGTTCAATCAAACATCTTAAGAATTTCTGTGTGTGAAACCGAAGCTTGCTAAATGTTCAGCACGCTGGCAGACTCAACTGGTTAGTCTCATGAACACGAACGACGGTTGTTAAAGTTTACAAACGTCTGCCTACGTCACTAGACACTTTTGTTTAAATGAAACTACATGTGGCACTTCCCACCGAGGTAGAGCGACTCAAACACATTAATGGACATGTATGCACCACAGAGGATGACTGTTGATGATAATGTTAACGACACTTTAACGCTGATCCCTTCAAGGAATATCATTGACTTGCTCTTCATGCAAGGAATTGAAGGTACCCTCATTTTTTAGTGAAATCTGATTAGCTTTCATTCCCCAAGTGCTATGCGATTCTTAATAATCATTCTTTTCACTACCATAATCTTGATCCAAGAAATTGCAGCTCCTTTTTCTAGGACTAACCCTGATTACCTCCCATTTCCCAGGCATGGTATGGCCCTTATGGGTTTAACATTTCTCCGTGAAAATAATACTAACGTTGTAGAGGGATGTGTGCATGTGTTACCATGAGTGTAAAACTGATAATTTATTGTATGGTGCAGGTACCAGGACAGTAGTCAGGTAGACGTGGCTGGTTACCCAGACAAGTATGGTAATGGTAACGTGGAACATCCGTCACTGCTCGTCAAGAACAGCTCAGCTGCCGACACTGGTGAATACACATGTCGGGTCGCCAACGCTGTCGGCGCCTCGGAAGTCACCAACTCCGCCTTCGTCAGCGTCCAGTGTGAGTAATTGTCTTCAGCTAGTTGAACAGGAATAAGTTAGATTGGAAGAGTGAACAATAGACACAGCTAGGTGTGGTTAGGGTGGGTGGGGATGGAGTGGAGTGGTCTGAGCCTTGTAGGGAATAAGTTGGGTTGATTTGAGCTCTTTTGGGTTGCACTGGGTGAATGGTAGGCTGCGGAAGTCTGGGTTAGGTTTTGCAGGACTAGGCTAGTCTGAGCAGAGCTAGTCTACCCACGGTATGAGTGGGGTTAGAACCCATAGCAAGCGAGTCGTAAAACTCCATGGAGGCCAGTGCGTAAAGAATCGTGTAATTACGATTTCGTGAGTCATGATAAGAGCCAGTTTAGGCTGATAAGCCTATAAGCATATAGCATGTAAGTTATTTAGACGGAAGAAGTGTGTTACATCGTGTTAGGTCGATGTTTCTCTCACCAAGACAGTCAACAACAAATGTTTCTACATGAATGGTATACATTACCAACAAGATGAAAAATTAGACACATGTGCAACATCTGGGTCAAGATACCCGGATATTGAACATGCTCTCTTTTGCTTGTTTCGCTGTCATTTTCCATTCTCTGTTTTCTGATTTTTTCTTTGCTCTAGTGTTTTTGTCATTGTCTCCTTTTTTCCCTACTTTTAATCCTCAGGATAAATTTGTTCTTTGTCGGCATGTCACTTATTCACCCCATTTAATAATTTTTTTTTTTTTTTTTTTTTTTTTAACTTTTTTAATTCCAGTGAACTTCATTCTGGAAGTCTCACTTGTGCATAGTTCTTTTTTATTCTGTAGTCAGGTCTGTTTCTCCTTTTGAGGTCCTTCAAATGTTTAAATCTAAAAGGTAGTGGCAGCTCTGTCACCACGTGCGCTTCACCAGGTTCTTCCCTGCTACAGATCGACCGCAGGTGCAGGTGGTGATATACCCGATGGAGCCAGTGTCTGAGGAAGACCACGTTAATGTCACACTGAACTGCGACGTGGTGAGAGCCAACCCAGACTACCTCGTCCGTGTGCGATGGTACCTCGACGGGGAACTCTTGAAGGTAGGTACTTCTTCGTGTAAACCAATACTTGGCAATCAGAAATTGATATAATTATAACCATAATTTTTTAAAGGGGTGGACCGGTAAGCCAGCGGAAGGCCATGGCCAGATTACCAAAAGTTCCAGCGGCGAGTCATGACTTATACCCGCGTCAGGAAACATTTGTCGTGCTTGTGTTCAACCAAATGCTTGGCTTGAGGCCTGGTTACGAGTGTAGAGAGAACTCGGAAACTGCTCACAGATAGCATAGATTATTGCAGAAAGAATAAAAAAAAAAGGCAGCAGACCGTGACTGGAACAATTCAGATAAGCCGCACACAAGAGAAACAAACTTACAAGTTTCTTTCTCCTGTGTGCGGCTTATTTGTGTATTATTTTTAGTACATTCATTGAGCGCTTAACCTGTAGGGGTCATACAGGGGGGGAGTGAATGAAAGACATCCAGATTTGATTCAAGGATTTGGAGCAGAGGTTCAATTCCTTAGATCAAGAGCCCCTCACCAGTATCAAGGAACCTCCCTAGAGGGGACATGTAGCATAGAACGTGAAGGGTTTTGTGTCACTGATCCAAAAAATGAAAAGTTTATATTAATATTAATATGTGTGAGCAAAGTGTAAAGGGTATTTTTTGCTTATATCAGATCTGGGCTTTTGATGTATGTTCTAACTCCATTCATTCACGCGTGGTCTTCCTCAGGAGCTGCCGGAGTGTGACGGCAACTCAACAACTTACGGCTCCAACTCGGTGTTCTGCGACATCGATCCCTCCAAGCTCCTCTTGGAGAACGTTTTCAAGGACTTCCACGGCAACTACTCGTGCGAGGGCATGAATGACGCTGGCTGGGGAAGCAGGTCCAACGAAGCAGAGCTCATCGTCCACTACCCTCCCGGGCAGGCCTTCATCACCTACCAGCCACCAATGGTTGTTAAGGTGCGCTAACCTCTTCTAGGTCAGATGACCAAAAGCTCCAGCTGTGGGTCATCATATGACAAAGACCCACGTCAGGAAGCACTTGTCCTGTTTCCTGACAGACTTTACCTAACATCTTTTATACACACTTTGCGCTAGTCGGATCTTTAGTCATGTACCACGCTATGTGCGCCCCCTCATCTGCGCAAGGTGGAAGCGCTGAACACCTGCTCAGATACTACGCTAATGTCGAAGATTTGTCAAAACAGCTCTGTAGGCGACAGGAGTGACACTTTCACTTAAAAATTCACACAACAAAAATCACAATTTCAAATATTCTGAAAGTATTTCCACTGTTTTCGCAACAAGAGAGTCAAAATATTTAAACTAGTTTTAGCTGCATATTAGGACATAGAAAAACATTTCCACGTAGTAAATCAGTGGACATTCACTTTCTCCACAGAAAATACGAAGCTCACAGCTTTCTTTTTACCTCGAAAAATAAATTCTTCCAGGTTTTTCATTTCTCCCTATAATTCATCTTTGATTTTCCGGCGCCCCGCTCCAAAAGTATCCTCGGTTGGTACTTGAGAGGATATTACCCACATTTCTTCCTTCTTTATGTACAGAAAGTGTAGTTTTTTGCTTCCCACAGGGTCTTTTCTAATGGTTTCTTGCTTCCCACAGGGTCTCTCCCTGGAGTTGACGTGCAATGTAGAAGACCCTGGAAGACCAGCAGCCACCACTTTCAGATGGTACCGGGGCTCCCACCTGGTACCTGACGAGACCACAGCCAGCTGGACTATCAACCCCGTGTCTTTAGAGACCGAGGACAACTTCACTTGCGTCCCCGTCAATATCGAAGGCGAAGGAGAGAGAGCCACCCTGAATGTTGATGTTTTAGGTGAGTTGATGTGCTTGTATGGCGAGAGATGTTTGTGTATTTGGTAGAGTATGAGGTTAACGGGGGATTGTGGCTAAGGTGATTTGTTTGTATGGTGAAGGATGTTTGTGTGTTGATATGGTGGAAAGGACTATAGTGTGAGTGGCCGTTTTGTGGTGGAGGGCCAGGTAAGCCTGGCCTCTGGCCGAACTGGAAGGGTAAAATCCTCAAAACCCACATTCAGCATTATGGAAATAATGCTAATAATTTTGGTCTAACTAGGAACTCACATCCACTTCTGAATTTAAGGAGGTGAAAGTACATGTATTGGGAAGATGGAGGGAATATTTTGAGGTGCGTTTAAATGTTGATGAGAAGACTCCTAAAAAGAGTCAGAAAAAGCTAGATGCGAGTGTGAGGGAGGTATATGAGGCAGTGAGTAGAATGAAAGAGGACAAAACAGCTGGGATTGATGGAATTAAGACAAATGTTAAAAGCAAGTGGGATATAGTTTTGGAGTAGTTGGTAGATTTTATATAGGCATGAAAGGAGGGAAGGTACCTAGATATTGGCAGAGAGCATGAACAGTTCCTTTGTATAATGTAAAAGTGGGTAAGAGAGATTGTAAGAATTTTAGGGAAATAAAACTTTTGAATATACCTGATAGTGTATGGTAGAGTTATGGAGAAAAAGATCGTAGATGAACAAGTTTTTTTTTTTTTTAGGGAGAGTAGGTATGTAGACCAGGTGTTTAAATTGAAGCATATAAGCATAGATAAGGGTAAAAAAAAATTTTTTACATTTATGGATTTAGAAAAGGCATATGATAGGGTGGATGGGAAGCAATGTGCTCTCTCACACACACACTAATATATATATATATATATATATATATATATATATATATATATATACACACATACTTGGGAGTTGACGTGTCGGCGGATGGATTTATGAAGGATGAGGTTAATCATAGAATTGATGAGGGAAAAAAGGCGATTGGTACGTTGAGGTATATGTGGAGTCAAAAAACGTTATCTATGGAGGCAAAGAAGGGAATGTACGAAAGTATAGTAGTACCAACACTCTTATATGGATGTGAAGCTTGGGTGGTAAATGCAGCAGCGAGGAGACGGTTGGAGGCAGTGGAGATGTCCTGTCTAAGGGCAATGTGTGGTGTAAATATTATGCAGAAAATTCGGAGTGTGGAAATTAGGAGAAGGTGTGGAGTTAATAAAAGCATTAGTCAGAGGGCAGAAGAGGGGTTGTTGAGGTGGTTTGGTCATTTAGAGAGAATGGATCAAAGTAGAATGACATGGAAAGCATATAAATCTATAGGGGAAGGAAAGAGGGGTAGGGGTCGTCCTCGAAAGGGTTGGAAAGAGGGGGTAAAGGAGGTTTTGTGGGCGAGGGGCTTGGACTTCCAGCAAGCGTGCATGAGCGTGTTAGATAGGAGTGAATGGAGACAAATGATACTTGGGACCTGACGATCTGTTGGAGTGTGAGCAGGGTAATATTTAGTGAAGGGATTCAGGGAAACCGGTTATTTTCATATAGTCGAACTTGAGTCCTGGAAATGGGAAGTACAATGCCTGCACTTTAAAGGAGTGGTTTGGGATATTGGCAGTTTGGAGGGATATGTTGTGTATCTTTATACGTATATGCTTCTAAACTGTTGTATTCTGAGCACCTCTGCAAAAGCAGTGATAATGTGTGAGTGTGATGAAAGTGTTGAATGATGATGAAAGTATTTTCTTTTTGGGGATTTTCTTTCTTTTTTGGGTCACCCTGCCTCGGTGGGAGACGGTCGACTTGTTGAAAAAAAAATTATATATATATATATATATATATATATATATATATATATATATATATATATATTATATATATATATATATATAGATATAGATATATGCATGCAAAACAACCACTGTGAAAGAGTAGTGAAATTCCAAGCGCTTTCGTGACTACTCACATTGTCAAGGAACTATGAAAGCAATACATGAAAGGAAGGCAATTAAAGGGCTTAGACCACACCTCACAGTCAACTCCCACAACAAAGAAACCTGACGCGTGACAATACCGGACTCATAAGAAAAGAGGAACACTGCAGTAGGTCCGCTGGTACAACTAGACAGGTCCTCACGACATTCCAAATATTCTACCCAAGAAATAAGGTTTATTATTTGTCCAATGTATTATTATATTCTTCCAAAATTTTATTAATTATAAATGAATCTAATTTATATAAACCAAAGGAAATATTCATATTTTCAAAACTGCTTTTTATGAAACCAGGTTCAGTTATATTTCTGTCAATCATGGACTTGCTTGATACAACTTTCTCAACTTGTTGAAAATCAGTTGGATAGTTAAAATCTCTCATATGAATAAATAAAGCATTGGAATCTTGTCCAGTTCTAATGCTATATTTATGTTGTTTTATTCTAAGTTCGAGACTTTTTACCAGTTTGACCGTAATAAACTTTATCGCAAATTTTACAAGGAATCTTATACACACATCCGTCAGCATATTGGGGGGGGGGAATTCTTTATCAAAAGTTTTTTTTTACTGTATCAAGATTTTTAAATACAACTTTAATATTAAAAGTCTTAAGAGAAGGCATATCAACCAAGTTTTCATGGTAAGGGAGAACCAACATATTTTTAGTTGAATAAGGTTGGTTGTCCCTTTTTGGGTTGTAAAAAGTATTTCTTGCAATTTTAAATGATTTATCAATTACATTTCTCGGGTATTTTAGATCATTGGCTATTTCATAAATTTTGGATATTTCTTGATCTATGAACTCAGGACTACAAATACGTAAAGCTCTCAAAAACATTGATGGGAAAACAGACAGTTTAACTATCTTGATGGGAAGAATAATAGTGGACATAGGAACAGTTATTTGTAGGTTTTCTGTAAATTTTAAATTTGAATTCATTATTACTCTTATTAAAACATCTAGAAGAGGCAATGAGTTATTTTCTTCAAACTCAACAGTCAAGTTTATAGAATGGGCTAAGGTATTCAATTTGCCAAGGAAATGGTGTATATCTACATTCTTGGGCATAAGACATAAAATATCAACATATCTGAACCATTTTGCTCTATTAGGGAGGATTGTGTTAAGCAACCTTGTTTCAAAAAATTCCATGTATAGATTACTAAGAACAGGTGAAAGAGGATTTCTCATTGCCATACCAAATTTCTGAGTGTAAAACTTATCATCAAATACAAATTTTGCATCAACAATGCAAAGTTTAATAAGTTTAATGATGGTAGGAACTGACAATGGTAAATCATAATTAACGAGTTCTTCAGATAAGAAACTTAATAAATCATCAACAGGAACTTCCGTAAACAAGGAAGTAACATCAAAACTAACCATGTTAAAATAATTTAAGTCAGTCAAGGAGCTTAATTTGTCAACTAAATCTATGTTGTTTTTAAACATTAAAATTAGAAATTCTACCAACAATAGGGCTCAAAATGTCAACAAGCCATTTGGATAATTTATACGAAACTGATAATATGGAGCTAATAATTGGTCTGACTGGATTACCTGGTTTGTGTGTTTTTATTAGTCCATACATGTAAGGTAAATATGGACTAGTGGAAGTAAATTGTTTAATTAATTCATCTTTGCCTTTCAGTAGAAGTTTTATTGTTTTAAAATTTGATTTAATTGTTATTAATTAAAAATTTACTTCCATTTTAATCCACCCTTTGGGTCACCCTGCCTCGGTGGGAGACGGCCGACATGTTGAAATATAATATATTATATATATATATATATAAATATATAATATATAATATATATATATATATTAATATACATTATAATATATATAATATATATATATATATATATATATATAAAAATATATATTTTAATATAATATTTTTTTTTCAACATGTCGGTCGTCTCCCACCGAGGCAGGGTGACCCAAAAAAGAAAGAAAATCCCCAAAAAGTAAAATACTTTCATCATTCAACACTTTCACCACACTCACCATTATCACTGCTTTTGCAGGGGTTTGCTCAGAATACAACAGCTAGAAGCATATACGTTAAAAGATACACAACATATCCCTCCAAACTGCCAATACCCCAAACCCCTCCTTTAAAGTGCAGGCATTGTACTTCCCATTTCCAGGACTCAAGTCCGACTATATGAAAATAACCGGTTTCCCCCGAATCCCTTCACTAATATTACCCTGCTCACACTCCAACAGATCGTCAGGTCCCAAGTTCATTCGTCTCCATTTACTCCTATCTAACACGCTCATGCACGCTTGCTGGAAGTCCAAGCCCCTCGCCCACAAAACCACCTTTACCCCCTCTTTCCAACCCTTTCGAGACGACCCCTACCCCTCTTTCCTTTCCCCCATAGATTTATATGCTTTCCATGGCATTCTACTTTGATCCATTTTCTTAAAATGACCAAACCACCTCAACAACCCCTCTTCTTGCCCTCTGACTAATGCTTTTATTAACTCCACACCTTCTCCTAATTTCCACACTCCGAATATTCTGCATAAATTTACAACCCCACATTGCCCTTAGACAGGACATCTCCACTGCCTCCAACCGTCTCCTCGCTGCTGCATTTACCACCCAAGCTTCACATCCATATAAGAGTGTTGGTACTACTATACTTTCATACATTCCCTTCTTTGCCTCCATAGATAACGTTTTTTTGACTCCACATATACCTCAACGCACCACTCACCTTTTTTCCTAATCAATTCTATGATTAAACCTCATCCTTCATAAATAAATCCGCCGACAGGACAACTCCCAAGTATCTGAAAACATTCACTTCTTCCATACTCCTCCTCCCCAATTTGATACCCAAATTTTTTTTCTTTATCTAAATCATTTGATACCCTCATCACCTTACTTTTTTCTATTTTTCACTTTCAACTTTTCTACCTTTACACACATTCTCAAACTCATCCACTAACCTTTGCAATTTTTTTTTTAGAATCTCCCATAAGCACAGTATCATCAGCAAAAAGTAACCGTGTCAATTCCCATTTTGAATTTCATTCCCCATAATTTTAAACCCACCCCTCTCCCGAACACCCTAGCATTTACTTCTTTTACAACCCCATCTAAAAAATATATTAAACAACCATGGGTGACATTACACATCCCTGTCTAAGACCTACTTTTAAAACCGGGAAGTATTCTCCCCCCTCTTTTACATACCCTAACCTGAGCCTCACATCCCATTAAAGCTCTTTACAGCATTTAGTAACTTACCACCTATTCCATAACCTGCCCAAAATCTGCCACATTGCTCCTCTATCCACTCTATCATATGCCTTTTCTAAATCCATAAATGCAATAAAAACTTCCCTACCTTTATCTAAATACTGTTTTACATATATGCTTCAATGTAAACACTTGATCTACACATCCCCTACCCACTCTGAAACCTCCTTACTTCATCCGCAATTCTACATTCTGTCTTACCCTAATTCTTTAAATTATAACCCTACCGTATACTTTTCCTGGTATACTCAGTAAACTTATTCCTCTATAATTTTTACAATCTCTTTTGTCCCCTTTCCCTTTATATAAAGGGACTATACATGCTCTCCCCCAATCCCTAGGTACCTTCCCCTCTTCATACATTTATTACACGAAAGTACCAACCACTCCAACACTATATCCCCCCCTGCTTTTAACAATTCTGTCATGATCCCATCAGTTCCAGCTGCTTTACCCCCTTTCATTCTACGTAATGCCTCACGTACCTCCACCACACTTACATTCTGCTCTTCTTCACTCCTTAAAAGATGGTATACCTCCCGGCCAGTGCATGAAATTACCGCCTCCCTTTCTTCCTCAAACATTTAAAAGTTCCTCAAAATATTCTCGCCATCTACCTAATACCTCCCTCTCCCCATCTACTAACTCCCCTACTCTGTTTTTAACTGACAAATCCATACTTTCCCTAGGCTTTCTTAACTTGTTTAACTCACTCCAAATTTTTTTCTTATTTTCATTAAAATTTCTTGACAGTGCCTTTCCCACTCTTTCATCTGCTCTCCTTTTGCACTCTCTCACCACTCTCTTCACCTTTCTTTTACTCTCTATATACTCTGCTCTTCTTATAACACTTCTGCTTTGTAAAAACCTCTCTTAAGCTACCTTTTTCTCTTTTTATCACACCCTTTACTTCATCATTCCACCAATCACTCCTCTTTCCTCCTGCCCCCACCCTCCTATAACTGCAAACTTCTGCCCCACATTCTAATACTACATTTTAAAAACTATTCCAACCCTCTTCAACCCCCCCACTATCCCACCTTTCTGCCAATAGTCGCTTATATCTCGCCCGAACTTCCTCCTCCCTTAGTTTATACACTTTCACCTCCCTCTTGTTGTTGCCACCTTCCTCTTTTCCCATCTACCTCTTACTCTAACTGTAGCTACAACTAAATAATGATCCGATATATCAGTTGCCCCTCTATAAACATGTACATCCTGGAGCCTACCCATCAACCTTTTATCCACCAATACATAATCTAACAAACTACTTTCATTACGTGCTACATCATACCTTGTATATTTATCCTCTTTTTCATAAAATATGTATTACTTATTACCAAATTTCTTTCTATACATAGCTCAATTAAAGGCTCCCCATTTACATTTACCCCTGGCACCCCAAATTTACCTACTACTCCCTCCATAGCATTTTTACCCACTTTAGCATTGAAATCCCCAACCACCATTACTCTCACACTTGATTCAAAACTCCCCACGCATTCCCAACTCAACATTTCCCAAATCTCTCTCTCTCCTCTACACTTCTCTCTTCTCCAGGTGCATACACGCTTACTATAACCCACTTTTCACATCCAATCTTTATTTTACTCAACATAATCCTTGAATTTTTAATATTTGTAGTCCCTCTTTTCCTGCCATAGCTTATCCTTCAACGTTATTGCTACTCCTTCTTTAGCTCTAACTCTGTTTGAAACCCCTGATCTAATCCCATTTATTCCTCAAAATTGAAACTCTCCCACACCCTTCAGCTTTGTTTCACTTAAAGCCAGGACATCCAGTTTCTTCTCATTCATAACATCCACAATCATCTCTTTCTTATCATTTGCACAACATCCACGCAAATTCAGACTTCCCACTTTGACAATTTTCTTCTTCTTATTCTTTTTAGTAATCTTTACAGGAAAAGGGGTTACTAGCCCATCGTTCCCGGCATTTTAGTTGACTTTTACAACACGCATGGCTTACGGAGGAAAGATTCTTATTCCACTTCCCCATGGATATAAAAGGAAAAGTATTAAGACCAAGAACTATTAAATATATATATATATATATATATATTTTATTAAAATATATATATATATATATATATATATATATATATATATATAAAAACCTTATATCGTAAACGTAATGTTTCCATGAAACACTATAGACTATAATTAACGTAACGTTAATTCCTGAATTTGTGAACGCCGCTGTGTTCGTCACATTACAACAGCTGATGAGGATTGGTAATTCCAATCTTTACGGCTCGTGATTAGCTTATCAGGATCCTAGACTTAGCCTGTAATTAACCTTCCATAAAAAATACCTCTAATTACCTGTCCTTCGCGTTATTACGACAAGTCACAGTGTTCGTCGGAGCTGCGTATGTTACATTCACTCTCCCCCGTAATTAGCGTAAAATCAGTCGTAAATATGTCACGGTAACGACCTGGAATTAGTCTCAGCGAAATACGTTGTATTCACTAGCGTTGCTGGGAGGGAGCACTGGGGAGGGGGCGGTCGACCCCCTTGAATACATTTAGGTACTTGTTGTATTCTTCCCCCCCCCCCCCCGACCCTTTTTTCCTCTCTTGTACCCTTTCCGATTTATTATTAATTATTATTATTATTACAATCAGAAAAAATCGCTAACTCGACAACCAATCAAAACTAAACTAAATCGGAGTCATACAACCCTGATTCCTTAAGCATTTCGTGAGCCCTTGGAAGATGTGTCTGAAGATGTTGAGGGATGCTGAAGCGCCTGAATCTCTGGTTGTCACTTAGAGAGTCCACGTTCGCCGGAACCTACTCATATCCTTACAAGTCTTGTATTTTTGATAATGTACAATACCGACAAGTTGATGAACAAGACACACGGATAACATTTGAGAATCTTTGTTCGAAAACGTTTCGCCTGCACAACTTTTTTTTTCAGACGAATACAACACTGGAAATACTACTACTACTGTTGCCTCCACTGTTTGATTTGACTAGAAAAGCCTGTTATGCAGGCGAAACGTTCCGGCAGTATACCGAGTATACCGCCGGATTGTTGCGCATGTGTTTTATTCATCTTTATAATGACTTGGCACATTTCGTCACTAAATGGATATATTTTAATAGCCGAAATTTTAGCTATAATGTGCACATAAACAGCAAGATTAATGCTATGTTACCAAGAAGCACAAAAATGCTCAATTTCTGTATTAAAGTTCTGTAAACCGAATTAAAAAAAAAGTGGAAAATTTAACAAAATCTTAATATCGCTCTAGAAGACAATCAACTAATCTCCTAATTTATGTTCGAAACAGGTTCGAAACGTACTCTTTTTCTTTCCCCCATAACACTGAGTTCCACAGGCGTGTGTGTGTGTGTTCTACCATTGTGTCAGTATCGACCAATGTATTGTTTAACGATAGAACTGCTAATTATTTATTTTGTTTGAAAATTAAAAATTTTGATCTGTATGACCCTTATTTATGAATATAATATTTTTGATGATAATTTCGATAAAACGCATTTAAACCACAAAGCCGCGGTCACTACCCCTGAAAAAGCGTCATTTAAATTAATAAATAGCACCTGAAAGTCAAAGTAATAAGTAGTACCTTTAATGTTATAAATAATGCATTTTAAGTTAAGGGAGAATTTTTAAGGTGATTATCACCCACTTAGGGCAATAATTGGCACTTTAAGGGTAATAAGGGGCGTCTTAAGGTAATAAATAGCGTAATAAATGGCGAAATGTTGTCTTTAATAAATGTACTGAACTGTAGACAAGTGTCGTACAGTTTGTCAGTATCACAATAACATTTACAACTAAAACTTCGCTGCTTCAGATTCGAATCCCACCCATTGAGAATTGATTTCTTACATTTAGATCCTCCTTTCCCTTGTTACACATGTACAAATCCTCTTTTCCGTTGTTACACGTGTTCAAATTCTCCTTTTCCTTATTACACGTGTTCAAATTCTCCTTTCCCTTATTACACATGTTCAGATCTTCTTTGTTACAGCTGCACCCGTGTTCATCGACCGCCTTCCGCCTTACCACGGGGCCCTGCTCAACTCCGCCCAGGTGTCGTTGTCATGCAGGGTAGAGTGCTCGCCCCTCTGTACCATAGCGTGGCTCAAGGACGACACGCCCCTCCTCAACGACACTCACTACAAAGTCAGGCAGAGCGCCATGCTCCCGGACTCCTCCTCAGGGTAAGTCTTGAAGGATCCTTTAGGGTAGTTCTACCCTGCTTCAGGGGCATTGTCTGTCAGAACCTCCATTTCAGGGTAGATGTACGAGAACACTTCTATGTACACTGGTCAGTGCTGTAATCTTGTTTTTGTGTGTTATTATCTTACAAGATTTTCTCACGTAGCTGAAGAAGCTTTAATTGGCATAACGTTTCGCTCTGTAAAGAGTTTTTTAAAGTTAAATTTACAAACTAAGAGCTGATTTCGTACCTCAGCTCATATCAAAATCAACCCCCTGGGATGCGACCCATAGCAGTCGTATAACATCCAGGTACTAAATACTGCTAGGTGAATAGGGGCAGCAGGTGTAAGGGAACATGCCCAACGTTTCCACCTGTGTCGAGGATCGAACCACGAACCCTCAGTATGTGAGCCGAGTTCGCTACCAATTTTATCGTGACTTCATGAACATCAGAGAGAGAAACGTTGTCCCAACGAAAGCCTAGTCTGTAACGTCTGTCTCTGGTTCAATACTGTCAGGCAGAAAGACATTTCGATCCAGTGTATTAATAGGGGCTCACATTTAACTGTTGTATACTCACGCCCTGTCGACAGGCAGCATCCCTCATCAATAAAACCCATGTACATTCTTCCCCAGTGACCTGGAGAGCGTCATGTCAGTGTTGACGTGGCAGATGGACCGCTGGCCCGACGGCGTGTTGGACCGGGACCAGGACAATCAAATACA